CACCCCTAGAGAAAGTATGTGCGGAAAACACTGAGACAGCAAAAGCCCCTTGCCTCGGTGCCCTCAGTGCAGTTCTGGGGATTAAAGCTATTCAAGTGCTGGACATCAGTGCGGCCCAGGACAGTCCCGGTGAAAGTGCAGCGATAATCCCTGTGTACAGAGGGACACTGTCCGGTAATCACCGCTTCCCTTAACCTCAAAGGCAGGAACACTCAGCAGCATAAAGTGCAACTCCAGACGGTCTTCAGTCAGGCAGGGTAAATATTTTAGTGCGGTGAACCTCATGAAGTCGACGCTGCAGGAGGATTCCCCACTGTCGACGGGGAGATAGTCATGCAGGAGCAAGAGAGCATCTGCCTCCTTTCTGCTCTCCAAGAGAACTAAGGGGACAGAGATTTCTTTAAAAAAATAGTCTAATCGATTTGTAACATCAGTGTGCAGATGCACGTCAAAGGCATTGATACAGAAGGCAAAATTATCTCCCACTTGAAATGCCAGGTTTGTGAATTGTCCAGTGTTCACGCTTCAGGTGAAGTGGAAGTAACCAGTTCTGTGTCCTGGCAGTCCCCTCGCACGCCCTCACGCTGCCCTGGGCCTTCGACCAGCGGCCATCCCTGCACCTCTGCCGGCCAGACGTCTGCCCACCGAAGAAGACTTTGTGCTCCCCGGCGGCCCGCAGGCCTGCAGGGAAGACCGCATGGCAGCCTGCTCTCTCGTGCTGAACGAAGCGGATTATCCGGCACTGGCGAGATGCCGGGACCAGTCGCCGGTCAGGGAATGGCCTCCTCCCATCCGCAGCCTGGCTCGTCTCCGGACGCCGGGGTCCAGCAGGCATGGGAGCAGCTGCCTTGTGGGACCAGGGCCTGACTGGAGGCAGAAGCGGCCGGCTGTGCAAGACCTCCGTTTATTTGTGCCTGCGCGCTTTCATCTGGAAGTAACGGCTGCTTTCGCCAGCGTGCTGAAACTCCTCCACTGACGCCTCGGTGCGCCCACAGAGCGGGGTTTGAGCTGACACCCCAACACGCGCGTCCCGACGGGGGGGCGCAGACGGCGGGGAGACGGAGAGCGGACGTGGTTGAGGGGATGGGATCGTATTCACCGGGGCACGAATTCCTCTGTAATGGCAGTGTGTATCCTCGCTAATGTCTTGGAACAGGCCTGATTATTGAGCATTAGCGGGCACGCTATTGATCCTTGGAGGCAGGGTTACACATAATTCAATCCTGGATGAATCTAAATGGAAAACATTAGCTGACGCACAATGAATCTTTTCAGATGACGGGCTTGCTTCTGAAGATGGGAACAGCACTCTCTCCATGTGATTGAATTCAGAGTGAATGTGGGGGCCCTTAAATTGAAAATACATGCTTATTTTTGACTTTTGTCAAATTTAGCCTTAATTTAGCCTTGCACTTCTGTGGTTTGACCACTAGGTTGCACTGTGTTCTGATGCTTGTCCTGGTCTATGCTAATAGTTTGATTAGTATTCCTCACAGCTAAGACTTGAAGCCAAGGTCCTGGTTGCCTGTGCTGATTGGAGATACTTCTCAAACTCTGCTGGAATTTGAGCTGGGCTTGATAACTCTTCTTCACCTGATCTTGGTGCACACACGTGTGTACACAAATCTGCTGTGGTTCAAGACGGACTGGTAAACAAGCAGTTATTTGGGATGAAAAGCATCGCATGAAATTAGCTTCTTCCTCTTGAACAGTTTTCTCATGGTGTGGATTGCGTTTTTAATATGGTTTACTTACAAGACTCTTGGAGGACGTTGCTGTCCCGTGTCTGGTGGTGAAGATTTGGGGCAGTTTCGTTTTTACTAGTTAAATTGTAAATGTTTTAATAAACTATATAGTAATATAGTAAGAGACAGGTTTTGGAATGAAAAATGCTTCGTTCGGGGAGAATATCTGCCTTTTTCTTGCTTCCACAACTTTACAAGTCTGCAGTTTTCCAATACTCAAAAGTTTTGGGGTGACCTGCACTGGGAGTTGCCAGGAGTGGGGCTGGACCACTGCTCCCAGCTCTGCAAACCCAGGTTGTGTGCTTTCATATGGGTGTTGTCTTGCAGTATACGTGTGGGCCACCAGAGGGTGCCCTAATCGAAGCATTATGCTTCAGTTCTGTGACTAAAGGGCTGCTTATCCCTGGGCCTGGAGAGCCACAATCCAGCAGGTCCTCAGGGTCTCCTTCACATCAGTTTAATCCATTTAGTAAGTACTTTCAGTTAAACTGGGGCTGGCCACATAGTTGGAGAACTACAGCGGACTGGGATTTGCAATGCAAATAATTTCTAAACCACTCAATCGAACAAATAACATGCTTAGTCAGTTGTAATGGAATTGGTATTCAGGTATTTAGAAATCCCCAAAATCCATGAGTGAGCTATAAGAGCACTGGGACCGGGGTTGGCCCCATGTTTTTGCGGTATCCGTAGAGCGCAGGTCTAAGTGACTGCTTGTGATCCAGGGCAGCGTAGGGGTTCGTTATAGTTGGTTAATGATTTCAGCAACAGTTAGAGGAAGTGGCCATATTCTATTGTCTTCGCTTCGAGTCTTTTAAAGGAATAGGTCCAGCTGTATATCCCGGTTGAGGGATGATGGAGTAGGGCAGACTGGAGGAAGAGCTTGAGAAAACCGGAGTGACCTCGGAATGAGCACCCTCAGGGCGGGACTCCAGGTGACCAGCAGCAGCCATATGCCGCCTGGAGGGTAGCAGGGAGGCTGTGGTACGGGTCAGGGCCCGGGACAGGCCTGCCGGGCTCAGGGGAACCGCACAAGCAGGGTGTAGCCTGTGCCCCAGAGCCCAGGGGCAGCCGCTGCACACGGCGGTTCGCTGAGGCTTCAGGCTGTATTTCACTGCCACTGTGCCCCTGCCCCATGTGGTATAAAATACCAGCTTCCTGTGTGAGCATCTGTGCCAGGCCCTACACCTCGCACGGATCTGATACTGTGCCATGAGCTGCTGGGTTTGTGCTCTACTGCACACTGTCTGTCTCTGAAAGGTGATCCTTTACGTTTAAAATTTCCCATCTCGCAGTGCCTCTCCTGTCGTCCAGGTAGGGGTTGCATGGCTGCCGGTAAGATGCTCTCCTGACGCTCGGGCCCTGCGCCGTCAGGCCTCTCTGATTAGGCCGGGGACACCGGCGGTGAATAATGAACCGATCCCTGATTAAACGGTGCGTCTGAAGGGCGCATGTGGGCTGATTAGCAGACGGTGGTTCGGTTGCTGAGGAGTGTGTGGCTTCTTCTGCTGCTGCCTGCCTCTGGCCCTGCCGTGTGAGCAGCCCTGGGGTTTGTTGTAGATGGAAACAAGCAGCGTCTGTGTTGGTAAAAACAATTCAGGGAAGTGGCAAGCGAAGGGGCCGTCCTGTTGCAGGAGGGGCACTGTAAGAGCCCTCCATCCCAGCCGCTGCGAAACCCTGCGACGATCCTGACAGGCCTGTGCTCGCTGCTTCAGGCGCCGGGCTGTAGTCCCCTGGGGTTTCATCTTCGTTTAGCTGCCACTGGGAAAGTTTTTTTGCCCCTCTTCATGAAGGGGATCACAGCTTATCGTGCCCCGAGCTGGAACTCGGGCAAGCTGTGTCTGTCCATTCAGGCTTGCCCGAGCTCCAGCAGTGGCAGAGGGCATGAGCGGCTGAGACTGGCTGCTGGGTCTCGTATTGAAGCGCACGCTGTGTCAGACCTCACGTTCCTAGAGCAGTGTTGCCCGTGCGTTCGAACCCAAGTCCGGCTGGGACACTGGGGTTCCCCCAGGAGGGGTGTCTCGCAGTTAGGAAAGCTCTGCTGGGATTGGGTCATCACTGGGACCTGTGAGCCCCCCCCCGTCCCAGCTCCCCCACTCCATGTCCCAGCCATCGTCTGCCCTGTGCGTGAGGCACTCTGGAGCCCTGAGCGAGTGTGTCTGTGCAGCTGCAGCTGGCCACACTGATGCTCCGTGTTGGTTCGGGGAGGCGGATCTCCATGAGCGAATGCGTTTGGTTTCTTGGAAGAACCTCCAGGTTGCCGAGCGAGAGAGGAGCCTGACGTCTGCTCTTCGTTCGAGCGACAGCCGGCGGAAGGAAAGATGGTGGCAGTTCTTGCGTTTTACGCTTTTGGGGTTTTATCTGGCAGAGTCTGCAATAAGGAGGGATGGTTTTCCGACATGTCACATCGGTTTGCAGCCTGATCTCTCCCCATGAAGTGCCACCGCTGTCTAATAGAACGCCAGGGGTGTCTTTCAGAGTTAACATCCGAACAGAGCTGTGATCTCTTCTGCATTGTGGTTTCATTACAGGAAGGGGGTGGTGCCCCCCCGCCCCCCCGGCCTGACCATAAACCGCTTCCAGAAAAACACTTGAAAATAGCCACAGGGAGCTTCGGACGGTTCTCGGTGATGTCATGGGCTGCAATGGCCGGTCGCGGGTCCAGGGGTTGGGGCTACAGTAGTCGCCCTCTGCAGGAGCCCTGAAAGGGGTCAAAGAGCACCTCCTTTGGGCAGCGGAATGCCCCCCTTCCCACACCCTGTGGAACACTGTCCAGTGTGTGGGACCCACAGGAAGACAGACGCCAGCCTTCTCCTGGAAAAGAATGGAACGAGCAGTCAGGGTGCTGGCAGATAACTTCATTCCCAGAGTTCTGAAGCCGCAGGGGGACCCGGAGGCCCCCGATGGCCCCACGGGCAGGTTACCTGGCACTCTGGGTGCTGTCTGCCCTTAGCCTCTGCCCCGCTGCTGCTGGCAGGGGGTGGCTTGGGGGCGGGTGGGATCAGGCGTGACCCCCACAGGTCAAAGGGCATGCGGAGGGGGCCGGCGGGGGGCTCTGCAGCTGGCCTTGCTCAGCCCCTGGTGGGGGAGGAGGAGGAAGAGGGGCGGCCCTGCTCAATACCTCTCCTGTTGTGCCCCCTTTTTCCCCCCCTGTTGTTATTCAGATTTCCAGGCCTCTTCTTTTTGAACTCCACGTGGACGGGGGGGTGGGGAGGGGGAGGAGCTGCGGCTCGCGAGTAGCCGGAGGCTTGGATTTCTTTTTTGTGTGTTGCTCTCCCCCACCTTCAGAAATCCGGCTGGAGGCTGTCCTACAGCAGCACGCGAGCGAGCGCGCGAGAGGCTCCCGCGGATTAGATCGTCTGCAGCCTCTGCTCTGCTAGCGCTCCGGCACAGACGCGCTCTCCCGCGCACACGGGGCTCTATGGGATTTCCCCTGCTCCCTCGGCTGGCCGACCACTTCCAGACGGGTCTCGTCTCCGCTGGTCCTGGTTCCGGAGGCTGCTGAGCTGGGAGAGAGGGGGCAGGAAGGGAGAGGACCGATGGCAGTTGGGGACACATGTTGAGCTGAAGGATTCCCCCCGGAGGCAGATTGATTCCTTTTCTTTTTGTTTTCTAAGGAAGCACAACCCTCACTGTCGCCTCTGTTTTTTGTTTTATTTTGCTTGGCTTGCTTTCCGTCCCTGCTGGTCGACCTATTGTTCCCTGTGAAACAATGGACCTGAGCAAGATGGTAAGCGCTTGTTTGTTTGTGTCTCGGCGCTCGCTTCAAGGGCGCAACAGATCGGTGCGTGGAGGGGAGGGTGGGGGGATACAGTTGCTAATTTATTTGCAGACCGCAGCCGTTCGCTTTTCCTGCTGCCGCCACTTCCCAGTTCTCCTCTCCGCAGCGGCAGCGGGGCGAGCTGGATTATGGCAGACTAATTCCGCGCAGGTCCTGTCTGTCGGCGAGCAGCTGTTCCCTAGCCTCTGCCTTCCCGCTCGGGGTTTCTCTAGCGTGAGATGAACATGCTCACCTTTCGGCTCGGCTCTGCCGGTGCTCGGTTATTGCAGGAGGCAGACAGCCGGTGAGCGAGCAAGCAGGTTGTCCCCGGCGGTCCTGTCCTTAAGGGGGTCCCTGGGAGTCCGGTGGTTTCTGTGCCTCTGGGTGGGAGGCTGGGATACACTGGGACGTTTCCTGGGCTCTGGTTTTAAATGTTCTCGCCAGCTGAAGCATTGCCCTTCCCAAGCAGGTGCTGCAGATCGAGTCCTTTCGGGCAACATGATGATATAAAACATCTAATTGAATTTTAAAGTGTTTAATACTTATCAGTAGTTTTGCTGTTTAACTCCTGATGTACGTTAATGATGTAATTTGTACTGAACGTCCCCAAATGTAGGGAGTAGCATTGATCAGTCAGCCTAATTGATGGTGAGATGGCTGAACAGCTGGTAAGTGTTGCTGATTGATCAGGAACCGCGTGCAATATTAATCTGGTAACTTTTTCGAACTCCCAGAAACACGGCCCTCACGTGGACACCGGGTAATATAGCTCCACCCTCAAGTTTGGTGAAGGTCCATCCAGTTGAATATTTTCCACAGTTGCAGTTAAGGGCAGCTTTGTGCCTCTGCCCTGTTGGGTTCCTCGTGTGGCAGCCCTGCCTGCCCACAGCTCTGTCCTCTGCGCTGTACAGTGCAGCAGTGCTGTGGGCTCCCAGGCCTGTAGACAGTGCGAACAGGTCAGAGGGCGCGTGTTCTGATTTCCGCTCAGAGCGCCTCGCTTCGCGTTGCCCTTGCCCCAGCCCCTGAGCCGTCTGTGCTTGGCGTCCCCTCCCTGCCTCGGACGCAGCCCTGGCGTACCGAGAGCCAGCCTGCCGCTCAACCGCGAGGGCGCCAGGCGCACATCTCGTCGGGGCGCTAAGCGAATGCGAGCTCCAGCCACCAGGCCCAAACCAAGATGGCGGCGTGTAGCGGTTCACCGTTTAGGGGTGCCATGTGGGGCAAGACCACTCTTTCGGAGCCTTGCAACGTGCTTTTTAGGGCCCAGGGGCCTCCTCTGTGCTCTGCTGTTACAGGCCTGTTGCAGCAGGGCGCTGTGCACTGAGCAGTGAGGCTGGTATAGCGGCTGTAGCCCGGTCTAGATCCCCTGTGCTTCAGGCTATATTATTCAGCCTTCAGAGGCTCAAGATTCAAGCCACCAGATTCTGCATTTTTTCCAGGAAAAAACAGGACAACGCCTCGTGTTCAGACTGATGCTCTGAAACGAGAGAGCCCTTTATCTCCCTGCATCCCTTATCTAGCAAGAGGGGCTGTCTGCTGTGTAGCAGAATGGGCCTCCGTGTGGTCCAGCTCATCAGGCCAAGTGCCACTTCCTGGTTCTCTTTTATCTGCTTGCTTCCTTGTTGTTAAAATAACCTTTTTTACACTAAGCTGAGCAGTTGAAGACCATCCTCTACATCCTGTCTTCTACTCTTTTCCAGGAAGATCACTGCCAGTGCAGTCATTTTACTAAACATTGGGACACCTGAAGCATTTAAAACCACATTTTCTGCTTGTGGTTGGAGAAGCTATGTAGTTTAAGATGGTAGGTGAGTGACACTCCACAAACAGGACTATGATCCCAAAATGCTTTTCAAACAGGAGACCCACTTCTCGCCCACTGAAGTATAGTCTCAGTGCACAGCAGATCAGGGGGAGAAGAGAGAAACTGCCTCATGGTTGAGTTAAGGGGATTCAGGGAGGCCAGACTGTGCAGAACCAGAGTGGGATTTAGCCAGAGCATCAGGGTCAGCGCCCCAGTTTTTACAAACTGTGAGATGAGCTCTTTAGTGACCAAGGAGTTGATGCCTTGGCTTAACATCTCATTCGAAAGGCAGAACAGGCCTCATTAAGGACAGCAGCTGCTGTGCTGTTCAGCCGTATCAACAGGGTTACTTGTGAGTTCCTGGATAACGTCTTAGTGTGTTTCCTCTACCTGTTTGACTGCCACCCCCCCCAGTCCTGCTGATTGCTGATTGATCCCTGATTTTTGCTGTTGGGGAGAATAAAGGGATCGCAGGGAGGGGACCTTTGAAAATGAGTAAAAAAAGGCCTTCGGGAAAATCTCAGAGCAGCTTCTTCTTTACTTGCTTTACCTGCGAGACGTTTCAGTCAGGGTGGAGGAGAGGCTGAGGACAATGAGTCAGCGGGGCCCTTGGCTGGTCATCCTGGGCCGTGCAGTTGAAGTTCTGATTTGAAAGCGCACTGGTCCGCTTTCCTGCTCAGTGTTGGTGACGGCCTGGCCTTGCTGCTGGGTTCCAGGCAGCTCAAGAGGCCCCGGCTGTCAGTTTTGCACCTTTCACCTTTGTTTCCGTGCGTCTGTGTGCAAGCGCTTCGGGCGGTGCTGTGAAGAGCTCGGCAGGAAGTGGCCAGATATTTTTAGTTATGTCAGAACCTGGCCAGGGGAGTGGAGTGAGGCAGGGGGCGTGTGGTGTCATGCAGACACCATGTTTACATTTTCACAGCTTTTGCACAAGAGTTGGCCGCAGTTTGCTGAAGCTCCCTGGAGCAGAAGCATCCTGAATGAATCCCTTGTCTGCATGGTGGGAGTGGTGCAGCACACTTAACACCCTTGTCCTCTCCAGACTGTGCACCAGAGTAGCTGATATCTGCCTTTTTCTCAAGTAAATGTTTTTGTCTGTAAAAGATAATATAATCAAGGAAGTCCGGTACTTCATCTAGCCCAAAGCATTGGAGGAAAGTCCTTTTTTTAAAACTACCAACAAAAAAACTCAATGTTTTAAAGCACAGTGTTCACGTTATTAGGCAGTTCCCTGCAGTGCAGTGGATGTTCATCCTGATCCAGTGCAGCTGAAGGACAGTGATGTGAAGTCACCAGAGACAATCAACTCTGCCAGTGGTTGCCAGTAGTTTAATAATCTGACAGTCTCATCCAGAAGTTCCATGAAGGAAGCCAGGATGACAACAAGGCTGGGCAGCTTGTTCCAGACCCTCCCTCACAGGTTACAGTATAGACATTTACAAAGCAAAAGTTTTATACTTTCACCCAGGTGGTACCGTAACTGAGCACTGTGGGGCCCGATCAGCACTGATCTTGGGCTAGCGAGTTTGGGGTTAGGGCTGAAAGGGTTTAATGAAACCATCCGTGGAATTTCATCAAATGAAAATACATTTCGTGATGTGGGTGGTTCTTGTCATTAGCTTGACTTTCTGCAGAAGTTAATTAAAATGGAACTGTGTCTCCCCAGTGTTTTTGCGTTTATAGTTCCACTTATAAACACCAGTGGAGCTCTGCAGAGGAAGGCTGTGTCCCCAGCCGTGGGGGGTGCCCTGGGCCCTGGGCCCTGCAGGGGGTCAGTCAGTGCTGGCCCTGATGCCCCCTGCCTGGCTCCAGCCCAGAGAGGAAGTGGCCTGGGTGGGGTTCTCAGCACTGCGCAAGAGCAGGAAGTGGAGCAGAGCGGTCTGCTCGCTCACCCTCTGAGCACGTCTTCCCCCGCTGCTCGACTCCCCTTCTAATCATCCCATCTTTCCTGTTGTTTTCATGCCTTTCCCATTCTCTGTTCCTGCTCGCTCACAGGAATTCTGCATGCCTTTTTCCGCTTTGCTTTCCCGCTGGCTGCTTTGTGCTCAGCCCTCCCTGAGCAAGGAGATGCGATTGAGCCAGCTGGTGACAGAGGGAGTGGAGAGAGAGACTTGGTTAGGATCGCCAGTACTGGCACAAAGCAGTTTCAGCACCCCCCCCCCCCGCTACTACTACTATTAATTGCTTACTATTGGACACTCCACTCAAAGCACTTTACAGGTAATGGGGATCCCCTTCACCCCCGATGATGTGACAGCAGCCGTAGTGCGCTGGAACGCTCACCACACAAATCAACTATTATCACTACTGACACACACATCCCCCCTACAGCTACCACTGACACACACACACACACTCCTACTGCTACTATGTACATTTGTGTCTGTATTTACATTCCTGCTGTTAAGCACCAGGCTGAATGCCATTCAGTTCTTTTCATCTTGGTTCCAGATGGCATTTTCACACCTGTTTACATCTACCTTCGTGAGCCGCCTGTGTGCTCGTGAGGTGTGCGTGTTGTGTTGTTGGTAGCTCTGGGTTTCATTACTACTTCATCAAACTCTTGCGTCAGCTATACGTTTAAGAAACTGAGAGGCATTAAAAGATAACATGCTACTGGACAATAATCATTTCTTGCAATTTAAATGCCTCTCATTATGTTTTGCTGTTCATACATGTCATGTATGCTTTACTAGAAATGTACTATGATAGTTTTTTGGTTAACATTGCAGTACGTAGTTCACTGCTTGATTTAAAACTTTTAAAAAAAATGAGATATTTGGACATCAAAACATTCAGTGGAAATTTTAAATGGAACAGCTTGACCTCATCCCCACCCAGTGCTTGCTCAGAGTGAAACAGGATCTGTTCCTGAACTCCTCGACCCGCGGCTCGTGCCCAGCTGTTCCTCAGGAAGTCCGAGGAAGAGGCGGTCTGAGAGTCCGTTGGCTGTGCGGTGGACGTGTGCTCGGCACGCAGGAAGTGTGTTGCGACACGCCGAGGGCCTGTGAGCACTGCTGCTTGTCCACTTTCACCACCACTGACTTGTATATCTGCACAACCTTTTCTGTTTGCTGAGCACTCATGCATTCTAGCAGGAAACGCATCCTTACACAAAGGGTAGCGTGTCTCCAGGACAAGCTGTTAAAATCGGGTGGGGTTTACGAGGAGCAGCAGGGGTTGTTGAAAAAAGCAAGCAAGATGTTCTTAATGAGCTCCTCTCAATTGTGACCTTTTCTTTGTTGTGAGGCGGCAGTTAAGTGTACAAATGGATGAGCTCAACAGTATATAGCAGTGCCTCCGCAGACTCCTGTTGCTTTCTCTTTAATCGGTATCTTATAGAGTAGAGGCGCTGGTGTTTTGTCGGCGCTCAGTGCAGCTTTGCCACCGTGTGGGTGTGTGAAAGACTGTAGGGCTGCTGACTGCTGTGCCTGGGTGTCTGGCGGCTTGCATGTCGTCACTAAGCAGGCTTTTTGCTTTCCTATTCATCAGAAGCTCACTTCACACCACCCACCCCCACTAGAAACAGCGTAACTTGCCATTAATAATGCCAGCAGTAGAGATTGCCCGGAATATTGGACTCCCGGCTACGGTATTCATTTCCATCACAGCACGTATGTCGGATTCGCTGATGCTTCATGGTGGCCCACGCAGGGAATCCAGCGTCTCCCAGTGCTTAGCATACTAATCTACTCCGTGTTTTACAGACTACAGAGCTTCATGCATGATTGTATTGGTGAAGCAGTGTGGAGCACAAGCAGGCCCAATAGACTTGAAATATTTTTAACGGTTTTGAAAAGTCACTGTAACAGGAGTAATTAAACCCTATTATCCTGAATTCTGAGGAAACACTTTGAATAATCTGGCCCCGCTATTATGTTTTAAGAGTGAATTTCTAAACTGGTTTTACCTGTATTTTTAATATATACATAAACGGTTTGAAAATTTTTCCAGGATCATTAGCTTCAGGAAATATTGTTTGGTGAGTTTCTGATCATGGTAGCTTTGTGGAAACGGACCGAACAGCTGCTGAGCTGCGCAAGCGGTGAGGAGCAGGACCACGTTGCGTTCGGGAGTGGTGGAGCTGAAGACCCCCGTCTTCCCGATGCCCTTCATGACCAGGGGTGGAGGGGGCAGCAGCAGGGACACGAGCTGCCTTCCTCACAGGGAAAGGAGGTCCCTCCAGCAGACCCCTGCTGCCGCACCAGTGCGCTGAGCTCCCCCTGCGAGACCAGCAGTCCGCAAGCAGGGGTCTTGGGACAGATTGCATCCCAGCCCACTGCTCCTCACCGCTGCCAGTGGAGGTTAGGAGCAGGTGCAGGCTGTTGCGCGTGAGCATCGTGGCACGGAGCGCGTCTGCTGGGCTTGTGCGGCGTGTTCGTGTCTGTGGACGTCTGCCGGTGAGGGAGCTGGAGTGTTTCACCCAGGAAGGCTGGTTTTCCATTTCAATCCCACCAGGCCCGATCCCTGTCAGTAACGGCAGCTGGGATGCCGGCAGCATTAGGTTTCTCGGCAACCTCCTCCTTCCTCTCCCCCTCCCTGGGCTGTCAATGTTTAATGAGAGGAATCCTGCAGGCTGAATTTTTAATATGCTCAGCCCTTGACGGCGTGAGCCGTGTTTTAGCAGCAGCGGGCCTCCTGTGGACACGCAGACGGAGCCACACAGGGATGGGGCTGGGTGTGGAATCTGACCTGGCCTGGCCGGAGAGCATGTTAAACTGACTCCTGTTGTATGTGACCTTTCAGAAATAGGTGGGGATAGCGTTCTCAGAAATAGCCATTGTGCCATGTGTACAAGTATTTTCAGTAGTTCTAATGCATTTGCAACGGTCATAACTAAACACCCTTTCATTGTAACAGCAGAGGGTGGCCAGACCTGTACTCAGGCTATCAAACTGCTTGAATGAAGAGTACTGTGTGTGTGTTGGGGTCATGTGGGGGCTGGGCTGAGCCTGCATGCACTGCTACGACCCCCCTCTGTAGCGCTTTCTTGGCCTGTAGGTCATCCTCCCCCGCCCCCCACCTTGTGCTGTAGGGGGCTACCTTGCCTGCTGGAGCCATTTCCATCCGTGACCAGCATTGCCAGTCTGGCCCAGGGTTCGAATCCATACGCCACAACAGCACTCAACAAAAGTTTTTAAGAAACCTGCAATTTTGAAATTAAAAAAATGCACAGTCAAGCGTTTCTTCATCATGAATTGATTGCGATCTTGCCTCTGATGTCGATGGTCATGGAGAAGGTTAGGAATTGAAGGGGGTGTGTGGTGAATTCTTGTTCTTTGATAGGGCCCAGAGTAGTAGTTGATTCTATTTTGATAGATTTGTATATCTTATGCCATGATCATGGTATTATAAAGCGGGATAGGGAACCTTTCCAAATATCCTTACTGCATACTATTGCTGTTTAGCCTTGGGCCGCCTGCGTATGGAAGAACACAGTATCTCTGATTATCCTCTGGGCTATCTGTCTCCTTTATAGGCTGTGAGCATCAACAAGGCCATCAACACTCAAGAGGTTGCAGTCAAGGAGAAGCATGCGAGAAATATCCTTTCCTGGAGCCGGTGTGTGGGGGAGAGAGAGGCACTGTGCAAGGAACTTGAGATCCTGAAATTTTCGATTGTGTTGCCGTTTGTGTGTTCATGCTGTTGCCTTTCGCGTGTGTCTGCTCCTATGTGAAAAAGTGGAACACCATAGTGAGCTGTATGGGTGTATGAAAGAAGAAATAATTGGTTGATTTTGTCAGACTCGGAGGTTTGGGAGCGAAAGGGGTGACGCAGTGGTGGCTGTGCTGTGCGTGGTGGCTGTCCGGCTTGTCTGCTCCTCCCTTTCCTTGACCGCAGCTCCTCACCCTGCATCCTGGGAACCCACCACGAGAAGGGAGCCCACACCTTCTGGGCGGCCATTAACCGCCTTCCGCTGTCCAGCAACGCCGTGCTGTGCTGGAAGTTCTGCCACGTGTTCCACAAGCTCCTGCGCGACGGGCATCCCAACGTGAGTCACTCGTCCCTGCGCCCCCCTCTAGGGGGCATCTCCGCGCATCTCCTGCCCCCTCACCCTCTTCCGAATTCCCAGCGCTTAACTCGGGGTTCACCAGCGGTGCCTGAGCGAGGTCCGTCAGTTGGCACCGGTTCTCCCGTCAGGCTGCGAGGGCCCAGCGCGTGGCGCAGGAGTCTCGCGACAACCAGCTGTTGCAAACTGGGTGGCACGTAACAAAAACCTTCAAAATTAAAAAAAACAGTTAGTCTACACACATTAAAAGACTGCAACGGACAAAAAAGTAAAAATGTCATACCTGCATCAGCTTCGATTTTATTTCCCAGTCCCAGTTTTGGCAGAAGTTCATTTTCCCATCCACATTGTGATTTTTAACAGTCACCAATGTGCTACCACCTCTGTGGAGAACTGCTGGCGGGTGTCAGGAGAGCCGGAGGGGCTCGTGTGCCCTGGCTCGCTTGCTCTGTGAGCAGGAGCCGTGTGGAACTTACGGCTGACACCCGCCGGCAGCGTGGGAGCAGAACTGCCACCATCTGAGGGAGCTGATGTCTCTCCGGCAGGGATCATAGTTCTCGCCATGGAAGCGATGAGGTTGTTCATCAGTATTAAAGCTGTTGAAGTACTGTTCGTCGTAGGTTGATAGGCAAGTCAGTAAGGTCAGAGCTGGACCCAGAAAATGGGATAGCCTAACAGATTGTAGTGCCACCAGACCAGGTCCACGTGGACCTGCGCTGTTTACTAAAACAGGTATTAATGTGCACAGCTCATTCACAGTTTGCCACAGAAATATGTTCTGTTTTTTCATTGTGTCCTTTGTGTTCATTTGTTGGGGATGTCTGTCCCAGTGGTGGTATATGTTGTCCGGGTGTGAGCATGTTGTAATCCAGCTGTCCCGTCTCTCTCGCCCAGGTCCTGAAGGACTCCATGAGGAACAAGGCTGACCTCAGCGATATGAGCCGAATGTGGGTAAGGACCATGAGCTTTTCCTGTGGCCTTGCGCCCTCTACACTGGGTCACGTCCGTTGAGCACGTGGTCATGTGTCGGAGAGTGATTGCTGTTCTGTGCAGCTGTAATCTGATATGCCCACCTGATCCTGGAATCACCAGCTGTGCGTTTTCAACACCGTTCTCGGCTACACACCCTGTGTCCACACACGGTGAAGAGTGAGGAAGTGTCAGCAGACTCTCCTCGCCTGCCCGTCTTCCAGCTGCATCGCTGGCCACACTGCAATTCAGAGGAGAGGAGTGTCTCTCACCTTCAGCGCTGTTTGCCTACCCTCCCTGCAACAGTGCTCAGCACACTGAGACCTAACTGGAGAATCCTGGGTCGACTAGACTCGAACCCGTGATCGTAGAGCTCAGCCTGTGCTTGGGCGAGCCCCCCGGCTGGTTAAGCAGTCTTCTGGGAGGACCGCTGGAACATTTTAGAAACTTACACTTTGCCGTCTTATATTGGACTTTGCTGGGTGCAGCCACGTTCCTACTATCGCAAGGCCTGACTTCACAGAAATCCCCGTGGAAACGTGTGGGTCGGCTGTTGTATGCGTAGGGGTGATCACTCCTGTTTTTAGACACGGTAGAGTTCTCAGACGCTCAGAGCATGCGGACGAGTGAGGCAGCAGCCTTAACACTTCGCGGCACAGGAAGGTGTGTTGCCAAGGCCTTGGAGTTGTTATGGCGAGAAGGTAGCAGTCTGGATGTGATTAAGTCTTCGCATGATCTTACCCCTCCACCCTTAAGGGAATGTAAACACCTCTGCTCAGATTACTGTAATAGTAGTTCCTGAGCAACACTTAGAAGCAACTGCATGCTGGCAAGATCAAGCGCAAAACTGCCTTTTAACTTAACGACGGATCTTTCTGGAATTCTTTACTGTAGGGTGTTAAAGGCACTTATAAATTCAAAGGTCTCGCATGCAAACTAGAACCATGGTTGAAACAAAGAATTGTGTGAATGCAAATTAATAAATTCAAGGATTTTGCTTGTAGTGGCATTTTCATTTATTATTCTATTTTCAATTTTGTATGTATGTTTTAGAGTATGTGCCAGTATGATCATGGCAGATTAATTTACAAAATAATTTGCAGTAGTTATACAGGAAATGTATAACATATTGTAAAATCTAGATTTTAAAATCTAAGCTGTTGCTTATCTAAGCCCTCGGAGGACAATGCAGCTGTACTGTTTTATTCATGGCAGGTGCTCTTACTCACAAGGAGGTACATTACAGAGGTCTGGCTGCCTTCCGCACAGATTCTCGTGTTGTTTTTTCCTCTGCTTATGTCCCCCCTGCACAAGGGCTGCATTCAGAAACAAGCATTTTTGTTGCTAAATCTGAGAGCAGTGGATCCCGTGGCATGTCGCTTGTGTTAACGGTGACGCTGTCTCTATGTCAAAGAAGTCAAAATAAAGGCAATAGGCAGGGATGCACATGCAGCTCTGCCAGGCCTGAGAGCTGACTGCTACACGGCAACAGCCCCCTTCCTGAAGGAGGACTTGGAGACGGGCCGCTGTGCACGTCAGCCCTGGGGGTTTCAAACCTGATGTGCTCAGTGACCAGAAACCATCTCAGCCACGTTGCTCTCAACAGCTACGGCATCACGTGGGGAAGCTGTGAACAGCGGTGGGTTTTTTGTAAGGGTGCTGGTTGCCATGGAGACAATTCCCTGTGCCACCCAGCTGCTGCAGCCGCAGAGCTCCCAGTGAAGGCGAGAGCGGAGCCTTCCCGGCTCCCATCTCACCGGAGCGTCTTGCAGGACCTGACCTGGGTTCATCCTTAAATTCCCTCTTGTCGGAGAGACACGCCTATTATATGTGATGAAGCAGGAATAACTAAAAGGCAGGGATAAACTTATCAAAGATAGCCATGTGTTGAAATATATGTATAGGTTTTCATGCATATGCAATGATCACTTCTGTTGGTAGCAGCATCAGAGAGTGGTTCAGAGCACCATAGGATAATGCAATCTGTGTGCATCTTCTTGGGTGTTCTCTAGAAAAAGGCTTGTTTATAACAAATTAAAACTCACTACAAACCTTCACTGGACTGCACTGTGACTTATTGCATCCTCTACAGTTTCAGCCAGTTCCAAAAGCTTACATCTACCACGATCATTTCCTGATTCCGTTTTGATTGCGTGAACTAGTAAAAAGAGTCAAGTGACTGCCAGGAACAGCTCCATAATCGCAAGCTAGCCTGCAGCAGCCAGGACTCAGTGTGCGTGACTAGCTCACCAAACCTGTGTCCGTACATAGAATGTCTTAACATCGTCTAGTTCTGGTCAGTCATAGCTGGAGCGATTGATAGCTAGGGTGCTGGCAAGCCTAGAAAGGGTATCCCCATTTTTGAGGGATGGAGAGTTCTTGAATACTCATTCCACCTGTGGACCTCATTATTTAATTGAGCAAGAGGTTAGAGCATGTATTTTTTAGGTTACTGATGGAATGGTACCTGTACATCCTCCAGGACTCCAGCCCTTGAAAGTTCTGGTTAGTGTCCGAAGCAGTTGTCTGCAATTTAAGTTTGGTTTTAAAACATTCTAGATTTAGCTGCTTTTTCTTACATAGTGGACAGCCAGTGTGCGTTTTATTAGAGGTGAAAAAGTCCTTAAATTCTGCGGAACCCCATGAGAAGGTGATCGGGCCTGCGCCGTTCCTGAGGTCCGGATTGCCGGATCAGGCGTGCCGGAGCGCAGGGGTGGCCACTGTGGCCCAGAGCGGCGGGGGGCTGCAGGACGAGGCGGCAGCAGAGGAAGGAAGGGGAGGAAGAAAGGGCTCTCTGTGGCCCTGCTGGCTGGCGAGATAATAACCTGTCTGTCCCCGTGTTGTCAGGCGCGGGAAGGGGCTCCCGGTTGCCTGTGGGAATTCTGGGAGCGGAATAAAAGGATTAGAAAGTGCAGAATTGAATGTGCTGTACTGCGTGGGCCCTGTGCCGTCCATACAGATGGCTGCTTAAGTATTTCTGTTAGGACGCCCTGCTGCCCTCCCAGCTGTTTGCCTCTTGGGTTTTTTTTCTTGACTATATCTTTCCTCGATTAGTTTTTTTTCCCCTCTATTCAGCCTCGTCCTCGGTTATGTTTTTAAATGCTACAGAGGATCACGGCTTTTCAGCCGCAGCAGCTCTTGTGCGCGAGAAGCGCAAACAAGCGCAGCTTTGTCTCCGATGTGGCTCGTGTTCAGCTGGGAGCAGGCTGACCCCCCCCTCCCCACACCGGCTGGGCCTGAGCTCCAGCCAAAGAAAAGCCGCCTGTCCGTCCCGACGTGCTGCCCGGGGCTGGGGTGTGTAGGGTGGAGAGTTTCCACCCGTTCTGGGAAGTGCAGTACAGGTGGCGGAAACGATTAGCAAAGCCCCTCTTCTTTGGTCTCCCATCAGCAGGTTTGTGTTAATTTGCTGTCATAGTTTCTGTCATAGAAAGCAAGAAACTTGACATTACAAACGTCACAAAAAAGGTTGGATCATGTGCTTGCTGGTAGCTAATTGACCTGCAGATCAAATGCCTCCTGTTCTTAGTGCCCCTGAGTTTCCAGCTGTGTCCTCTGGCTCTTCAGTACCTGCAGACCACATCTGTGACTTTTTCAGGATCACCTAACACGTTGTGAACAAGTAGGCATGAAGCTGGTAGCATCTGATCAGCTGTATATTGTTAACCACACAATCCCGTCCGCAGCAAGCTCATTCCAGCGCTCATCGCTCTGCCCGTCTGTTTCCCCAGGGTCACCTCAGCGAGGGGTACGGCAGACTGTGCAGCATCTACCTCAAACTGCTCATCACCAAGATGGAGTTCCACATCAAGGTCAGCCACCCCTGCATGAGGAAGACTGTTTCACCCTTTTCCATTGTAATCTCTTTTTAAATAAAACATAATCAGTCGTGAAGGGTTGAATTCCGGTCTCAGGATTTATCTGTGAATATTTGATTTCCTTGTGACTGTTGTAAGATTGTGACTTTTAACACTTGGAGTGCAACTGTATTTCTGCTCTAGGCTGTTCTTAACCATGATGTGAAATAGTCCACAGCGTATCGCAGGTACTGTAATGCTTTCCTGATTTTAATATTCTGGGGGAAGCATTAAAATTTTCAGCATTTATGGAAAGAAAAATCTCTGAGCAGAAATGATTAATTATAAGACTAAACCATGATTCCTGAGATAGCAGAATAGTATCTGTACGTTTTGCTGGACGTTAAAAATGAAGGGCTCAGAAAATGAAGGTTTTCATCAGATGAAAACTCCGTACAGTCACTAGAATATTGTCTTGCGATTCGTGAATGTGAGTGTCTAGGGTCTTCAGAGATCACGTCTGAATCAGCAGCGCGCTAGGGGTTCCTCTCCAGCGTTCGCATTGAGAGCTGCTAGGGAATTGAGAGAGTGAAAAAGAGCTGCCTGGCGTGTCTGTGCATGTTTCCATACCCTCATCTCTCCTGCTCCGATAGATTTGTAGCTTCAAATGGTACCCCGGTATACAAACTGAATCACAGAGCCTGTGCCCCTGCTGACAGACCCCCACTGGTTGGCTTGTGCTGCTGATCTGGGGAGAACCTGCAGAACCCCTATGGGGGTGAAGGAATGTGGTTAATGCCATCACAGCAAGCCAAGCTCTGCGCTAACGTTCCCTGAGCCTGCAGCAATGTGTGCAAGCTGTGCTGCTAGCCAGCGGACTGCAGGAACTGTGACGTGAATGCTCCCCATGCACAGTTTCATCACAGACCGCCTAGAAGGGTTCTGTGAGCTGTGTGTTTACTGTCCACGGAGGCCTGGATGGTTCACCACTTCCCCCTCTGAGATCTCAGTGCAAACCAGCTGTAGCTGTTCAGAGCTCATCCTGTCATTCGCATTTTTCTGATGTTTTAAAACATGAAATTCATTCGTTGGTTAATCTGACTTATGACTTACTTTTGAGGGGCAGAAAAGCAGATTTGGAACGCAGTATTTAGTGTTTTAGGAACTGCAAATGACCCCTACTGAACCCCTTCATTAACTAGTCTGGCTATAGGACAGACTTCCCAGCATCACTGAGCCTGGTCGCCAAAACTTCTCTCTCCCTCTTTCAGAACCCCCATTTCCCTGGCAACCTCCAGATGACGGACAGACAGCTGGACGAGGCAGGAGAGAATGACGTCAATAACTTGTGAGTCTCCCTCCCTGTTGACGGAAAGACAAGGTGCATGTAGAGGTCCGGTCCCTGCTTACCCCCTGCCCCCCGGCTGCAGCGTCCACTCCTTCGCAAGACAGCACAGCTAAATCATGTGAGACCGCATGAGCCCCTGCTATGAGCCTGCTGGCGGGATAGTGCTAGATGAGATTAGCAGATGAGATGATTACCGTCCTCTGTCCAAAGTGCCGAATGCTCTCAGTGACTGCTCTCTCCTCCCCAGCTTCCAGATGACTGTAGAGATGTTTGACTACCTGGAGTGCGAGCTGAATCTCTTCCTCGCCGGTGAGTTGTGTTACCCCAGGACTTTTGATATCGCCCATTTCTTATCGGCTCGGCTCTCAGCTCTTGGCTCCAGCCGCTGGAGAGACACGTGAAGACTGCGTGTCCTCTGAGAACTGCGTGATGTGCCCACCTTCTTCACATTGTCAGGCCCACAGCAAAGCTCACATGTTGGTCATCATCCTATGTTGCGAATCCTCACAAGCGCCCCTGCCAGCTGTTGAAAACAAAGCGGGCAAAGTCAGCTAATTCTGAGCTGCTCTCAGGCAGCTGTCCTGGTTAGCGCCAATGTCCAATGTTTTCTGGACTTGTAGGTGCTCAAAATCTTCTGCATTGAAACCTCTGCTGCATGAGCTGCTGAAGAGCCACTTATCATAGACTGCTCTTTAACTGTGCTGTAATCGGCAGCTCCTTCCAGTAGCTATTTCATTAGGATTATGTGAGGGAGTGATTTTGCAGACCTTGCTTGTCTTTCGTGTCTGTTAAACATTGTTGGATTAAAAGCGGACTCGGAGAGAGCGGTCCTGGATCAGGGGACCCAGGTGTCCGCTGTGAGTGAAGCCAGCCTGGTCAGAGCAGTCTGCTGCCTCCCCGCCTGTCTGTGCTTCGCTGATGCTGGGATGCTGGCCGCATGTGAAGCCGCCGCCCATCTGATTCCGCCCGCGAATGAGAAACAGATGATGTCAGGCGCTGAAGAGAGGCGCCTGTGTGAGGATGGAGGAGGTGGGGGCAGCCTGGGGCTGTGGAGGCCACACCTCTGTTTGGAGAGAAAAATAACTCTCCCTGGGGAGCCAGCAACAGACAGAGCGCTCAGTGTCCCAGCCTCTCCGCCTCGCTTCCTGTGGCAGAGCACGCCCTGGTCCCTCTCGCTGTGGACTGGCTGTGCGAAGACCTTTAGCGCAGTTTTGACACAGCATATTCTTTTTTTGTAAAAAGGAAGCAAGCTGCTTTTGCCCTGCCAATGACTGATGATTCATGCATATTGACTCTTCTGATTATTTTAAGATCAGCAAACATAGCAAAAGAAATAGACAGACTAGTGCTGTTCTGTGTGGTTGGTGCCCTCTACTCTGGGCGATATTGTCTCTCCCTGTTTCTCTCTCTCTGTACTTTCCTATCTCTTTCTTTCTGCTAATCTCTTCCTCTGCCCAATTTTCTCTCTCACTCTCTGACTTAAACAGATTTCATCCAAGATAATTAGCTTTAGTGGAATGAAAGAAGAGTTCTGCCACTTCCACACACACAAATCGGCATTAACAAGCGCTAATTGATCAGTTTTGTCCAAGACGGCTGATGTCATGGCTGTGCGTGGTCGTCTGTGAGCTCTCTCTTACGGCAGTGGTGTGTGTGCGTCTGCTCCACAGTTTTCAGCTCCCTGGACATGTCGCGCTCCGTGTCGGTGACCGCAGCCGGACAGTGCCGACTGGCCCCCCTCATTCAGGTCATCCTGGACTGCAGCCACCTGTACGACTACACCGTCAAACTGCTCTTCAAGCTGCACTCTTGTGAGTCCCCAGCCTCACGAGCAGCCCTCCTGCTGGGAGATGTGCTGCGGTTTATTCTGCTCTGCGCCCTTTCGCCGTCCTAGAGCTGAAGGGTGTCACGCACAGCAGCTTGACACTCTTTGGTCAATTACCTACTTAAGAGATCCTTATTTAGTTCTGGTTGTTTTGTACATAAGCTGCTTTCATGTAGCCTTGAAGGTCTGGCCCCTTGTGTCTGCATTGCCAGCCAGAGGATTCCCGCTATTTCCTGCAAGTCCTCTGGTCAAACTAGCGCAGAGCGATGAACAACAATGTACACTTTGCACTTGTCGATAAATCATTATTCAATTATTTTAAAGTTATTTTATTGATTGAGCAGTCATTATGGGATAAAGAAATGCCTCATTTGGTTAAGTCTACATTGATGCTAACACATGTTGGAAGGCATCGGTTGGTGTTTTTCATGCAGAGCATGTGGGAACATCAGAGGAGATGCACAGTCTTAATGTAAGCAGTTTGAAAGCTCTGCTCAAGTGGCTGCCCAACTATCAATGAACACATCCTTAAGTGTCTGGACATCTTAGCTTTTTGTTGGACAGAAAGCCTATTTTACCAGACGGTTATTACATACTGCATAACAGTTTGTACCACAGAACTGGAAAACCTGGAAAGAGCCTGACTGGTGGCACCAAGAACCCATAACCTGCAAAGAAAATAGATTAGCTGTTGTACTTTATTACAAATGGTCTACACGTGCCTTCCAATACAGAGTAACATTCATGTATATTTACATGAATTTATGCTTAATGGGTGCGTGATGAATTACTGGAGAAGGATATTCATCGTATTCAAGATCCTCATGTTTTGTTTTTCTTCCTGTGTCCTAAACTCTGCATGCTGGCTGACCCACAGGCCTCCCTGCGGACACTCTCCAGGGCCACCGAGACCGATTCCAGGAACAGTTCAAGAAGTAGGTACCAGGTTGACTTTTAAACAAGACTTTGCTCTGCAGTGGGCTGTGTGGTTGTGAGGCGACCTCATGGTGTGGTGGGAGCCCTGGGGGACTCGGTCACCTGAGCAGGCCGTGGCAGATTGGACGTTAGATATGGAAAGTGTTTTGAACATCTACAACAACACGTGGAAGTGCAACAAATTTTTATTTTAATCTGCCTAAAATAAAGGTAGGCTGAGGTGAAACAAAGGGTGAATAGTGGTTGTTGTTCTAAAATGGTTGCCTCAGCATTTGAACACAAGGATGCCAGCATCGTACTTACAGAAACGCACAGCTGATCTTTAATGTTTTGAGTAAATACCAAGGCTGAATCCTGAAGCCCAGTGTCCTTGTGTGTTTGTGCTGTTTCCCTGCATCAGGCTGAAGAGTCTGTTCTACCGCTCCAGTAACCTGCAGTACTTCAAGAGGCTCATCCAGATCCCACAGCTGCCAGAGGTGAGTCTGCGGGAGGACCCACACTGGGTTCGCACTCCACGGCATGAGCTCCTGGGAGCTGGAGGGTCTCGGTGCGTCCGGGCGTTTGCGCTGAGGGCAGGTTGAGGTCTGTGATCGGAGGTCTCGAGCTCCGATACGATATGAAAAGGTTGAGCCTAAAGTGACAGAAATTAATCTTTAATATTTAAACTTTGCCTTAATGTACGAGTGCTCCTGCTCCTTTTTGACAGTATTTTTGATAAACAGGAAACTATTACAACATAGCTCACACTCATGCTTTAAAACAAATTATTGTTGAATCCATCTTTGACACCTGCTGATTGTTTTCCTGGGCTAAGCAGGAGATTCTCGTTTTAAAGTGACAAGTTGATTCATTCACGGTTCAGTCTCTGTACGTGTGAATTAGTCTGCTCCACATGATTTATTTTAGTCAAAGTGGGAATTGAGAGAGGTTATTGCATTTTTGCATTTTCTGAAAAGAATTCCTTTGTAACTATTAATGCATTGTGGAATGTGTTTGTTTTAATAAGTTAATAAGGAGTGCACAGCCTGTCCCCATCTCTTCATTCTACCCCAGTGCTTAACTAACAGTTCATTTTAATATTGGCCTGAGCTGGGTGAGTGTAGCTCCTTTTGCCTCCTTCTTCAAGTGGAAAGGTAAAGAGACCTGTCGGACCGAGGTCCTCCACCACTGGAGTTACCTTAACACCACAAGGATCCATTTAGGCCACTGCTCTTCATTACTGAAGGATGATAGGAGATGTGTTTACAGAGAGCTGTGGGTGTCTCCTACGTAAGAGCAGCTGAGGCAAAGACAGTGAGAATGGGTAAGGGAGTTGGAGCAGAGGGACCAAAGAGACAGAAGTACAGGAGGCTGAAATTTCGTTGACTGTTGAGGAATGCTCATACATCGCTTGGAAAAATAAAATGGGCCATTGGGTGGGGGGTCACGCTGGGCTTTGTCTAGGGGTGGGAGGTGTTTGTCTGAGCTCTGACCGCCCTCCCCACTCCTCTCCCTCCAAGAACCCCCCCAACTTCCTGCGGGCGTCGGCGCTGTCGGAGCACATCAGCCCCGTGGTGGTGATCCCCGCAGAGGCCTCGTCCCCCGAAAGCGAGCCCGTGGTGGAGACGGAGGAGCTGGTGGACACCGACGCCCTGGCCCAGCCGGTACCTCTGCCCGCCGGCACACCAGGGAAAGCGCTGGTGCAGCGCCTGCAGCTCAGTAGAAGCAGCACGTGGAGATGTGTGATGCTGTGTTGTTTGACACTCTGCTCTTTTCCCGCCGAGTGCTGATCAACCTGCAGCTAATATCTCCTACTTTAAGTAGCGTTCTGTGGTTTGTGTTTGGGCTGTGGTAGAAAAGCTACCTTGAAACTGTGACCTGCTTCCTTGCCGGTACTGTGCTCGTGGCCTGTCTGAATGACAGGTTTGTCGATGCTGGGATGGGGGTAGGGGGTGGAGCAGCTGCCCCTGGGAGCTTTTCCTAACTGCTTATTCTCCCTCTTTTGAGCAGAGTTCAGAGAACAGGTTTGATGACATCTTCGGCACATCCTCGGCCTCCGACCCCTTCAACTTCAACAGCCAGAACGGCGCGCACAAGGACGAGAAGTAAGACTCTCGCTCGCCACATCCTGCCGGCTTTTACGTCCCTGACAGCCGCTCACAGCCTTTCCTGCTCTTTTTTCTGGTCGAGGAGCTAATCAAGCCCTGCAAACGAGAGGGCGGCACTTGGGTGCTGTCGCCGAGTTGAGCTGGTCACGCATGTCTGTCTTAGATGGTCTGTTAATTACGTCAGATCCCTTGAATTTCTGTTTCCCACTTCAGTTCATCTAGATTCTCTACAGGCTGGACACTCGTGCCGCAGTTCTAGCTTAAAGGTTCCTTTGCTCTGCCCTGAGCCACGTTTCAGTTACTCCTGCGATATCCTAGTTCCCTGTAAATGCCGGTTCCTGCGTTACATTCCTTACACTTCTAGCCCTGAGGTGTGAGCGTTTCAGAGGCATCAACCCGCAGTTTCTGTAAGGAACGGGCCAGGGCTGAGGTGGCCGTGTCTAAAACTCTGGCCCTTGAAGGGTGAAGACAGAGCAGTTCCCCTGGGCATGAAGGACAGGGCGAAAGGCTGCTGGCAGGGGCAAAGCTGAAAGTCAGAGATGGCAGTGTGATTACCTGGGCTGCAAAGCCTCAAGTATTTTATACCCCTTAAATTCCTAGTAGCGAAAGGAATAGTGCTTATTTTTCCTTCAGTCATGAAGTATACCTTAATATCTTATTTGCATGTACAGTATAGATATTATTTCATTTACAGCTTTACTTTTAGTTACCCCGGCAGCCGTGACAAGCTTTTGAATTTGCACCTGAAAAGGAGGATGAATTTGTCGATTAGCGAAACGTGCTTGCTCTGCCTCTCTCTCCCCAGAGACCGGCTCATCGCGAAGCTGTCCCGGGAAGTCAGAGCTCTGAAAGAGGAGCTGGAGTCCTTCCGGCTGGAGGTGAGGATTCAGCTGGCGTAGGAGGCAGGAGAACCCAGCAGCAGCAAGAGCTGTTGTCTCAGGCAGCCTAGCCCCCAAGTTCAGTGACGCAGGAATTTCAGACATTTTAGGCTGAAACATTTTAGCTGTTCAGAGTTTGACCATCAGCACAGATCATTGTGGCGCAGTGCTCACCATTGCTGTCTTGCAGCACTGGAGTCCTGCATTCAATTCCTGGGGTGCTGTCTGTGTGGAATTTGCATGGTCTCCCAGTGTTCACGTGGGTTTCCTCTAGCTGCTCCGGTTTCCATCCACAGTCCAAAGACGTGCTGGCAGGTTAATTGGCTTCTGGGAAAAGTAGCCCTGGCACGAGTGTGTGTGTCTCTGTGATTCCTGCGTCCACCACCCTTTCCAGGGTATATCCTGCCTTGTGCGCAGTGCTTCCCAGGATTGGCTCTTTGACCCTGAACTGGATTTGATATGATGATGTGAATTAAGAGTTCGAGCCTCATAGAGCTGAAGGTTTGAAAAAGTTAGATCAATTATAATGTTTTGAATTGAGAATGTGATTTTGTTCTTTCTAGGTTCATATTCAGTAAATTGTGCAGAAAGGTACTTGATTAATTAGTCAACTAATTGATTAATGGTCAATTTTACTGAATAATTGATTAATGTAAATGGCTTTGTGTTTAAGAAGGGTGGCTATACTCTTCTCCTGGGCTGGACTGCACTACCTCCTGAAAATAAAGAGAGCGAATGGGGGGCAGTTGATGTTTTGCTAACAAGGCAGCGCTCCGGGAGGTGTGTGTGCAGAGAGTGACCCGCCTGACCCTGTGTCCTCCAGAGTGCCCGGCTCTGCCAGGCCCTGCGCGGGCGGGTGAGCGAGCTGGAGGCAGAGCTGGCAGAGCAGACGCACCTGAAGCAGCAGGCCCTGGGCGAGAGCGAGTTCCTCCGCGCAGAGCTGGAGGACCTGCGCAGAGTAAAGGAAGACACCGAGAAGGAGCAGCGCAGCCTGACGGAGATCGAGAGTAAGAGAGCCCCCCTCCTTGGTTCCCCACGTCCCACAGGCACACACCACCCCCAGGCAAGGCTAGCTCTCCGCTGGCTGCTGTTGTGCCTGCAGTCTGAGTTTCTCCTGACTCCCCCTGCTAGTCCCCTTCTGGGGAAGGCCGAACTGGTTCCGTTCTTCTCCAGATGTTTCTCTCCCTGTTTTCTCCTCTCCAGCTCTCGCAACTTTTCGCAGTTCGCTCTTTCATGGTGTTCTCTCCTGTAGGGACTGTTTTCTGCCAATCTCCAGAAGCCGTTCACTTCTCTTTTGACTCTCTCTTTCCTGTTAATCCATGCACAGAGTGCTCTTAGAAATCACTCCACAGGGCTTACACTTTAACTCTTTTTCACATGACTGGTCTGGCTCTCTCTCTCTCTTAACTCTCTCTCAACTCTTGCTCCTCAGAGTCATCCACTGCGTCACTTGGGCTGCACGTCTGTCAGCAGCTGTTGTGCTGCAGAGTGTTAATGGCCGTTGACTCTGTGTGTCTAGATTCTGTTTCTTGTACTTACTTCTGGTAAGAAGATGCTTTAGTCCAGCTTTCACTTCAGCCTGTCTTGTCTGTAGCTGCACATGGTGTACCAGCGTGCCACTGACATCATTCTGCCCACAGCAGATCACTGAGCCGCGCACGGGTATTAAATGGAAATGGAGAGTCATTATTACAAACTCTTGAGCTCCCGCCTGAGCCCCCGGCAGCTCATACAAGCACATTATCCTGTTATCAAGAGGCGATGAAGAGAATTGCCATGAATCTAATTTGCTAAATTGAGTCTCGGTGCCCCATCGGCTGAATCCAGTCAGTTTCCTCTTCCGTCACCCAGGCCTCAAGGATCGTGGGATGCAATTCAAGGGATTTAAGAGAGTATCTTTCCAACTGCCTCCCAGAAAAACACATTCATTCTAACAACCAGAGATAAATACATTTCTTTTTTTAAAACATGAAAATGCCTGTATCTCTAGTTGTTAGTTGTTGTGCTCACTGGTGTAGTAGCAGGTATAGTGGTAGTGGGGGACTCGGTCATTAGAGGGCATGACTGAAGGCTGATGGGGAGTCTCGTGGGTGAGCTGCCGGCCTGGCGCCCAGGTTGCAGAGCTCCCTGAGCGAGTGGGCTGGATTTAAATGTTCCACACAAGCAGGGAGACTGTACCTAGAATGCAACAGCTGAAACTGAGGTGGTTGAAATGGTTAATGATTTCTTATTTGTAGAAGTGGTTTAGGCCAGATGCTCTTATTGACTTTTCAAACAACCAGGATATAGTTCTGGGAATAGATGTGATGGAATATGACAGAGCTAAGTTAGTACAGTGTGTAGAAAACATGGACATTTTTAGCCAAGATGGATTTAGAAGGTGAAAGTCTGATTAACTTGCAAGGATTCTTGCAAGAAACAAGGTCATTAGATACTAAAGCATATAACAAGAAAGTTCAGTTTTCCTGAAAGAGTTTGATAAGGACCCTCATAAAACATTGAGTCACCGATTTAAAAACCAGGATTCCCCGGTAACGTCAGTACATGCAGCGAGAGCTGAGAAACAGACAGGAAACAGCATTAAATAACACTGCAGATGTGAGTGGTCATGTTCCACAGGGATTTGTTTTAGGCCTGTAGCTCTTCCTGATCCGATTCAACAACTAGATCCTATTACAGTTATCAACACAGTCCAAGTCTCTGAAGTGGCAAACACAGAGCCAGTGGCAAGGGAATAACCAAAACAAGATTGTGGGTTGGGCTGAGCCTTGGTAAATGACATTCAGCACCAATAAGTGCAAAGTGATCCACACTGGTAGGACTACACGTTTGTGTAGAGTCTTCTAGTTAATAGAAAATGACAAAATACTATACAATAAAGGTATATTTAAAAAACAGGCAAAAGAAGGGATCTATAATGGTATGGGTTAATTCATCTATAGTACGGCTCTGTGTTAGAGGAACCCTCCGGAATATAATGTGTCCAAGTATGAGCTCACTAAACTGCCGTTTATCACAGATTTGCATGTAGAGGGGGTAACACTGCATCCTTGTGTTCCAGGGAAAGCTCAGGCCAACGAGCAGAGGTACACCAAGCTGAAGGAGAAGTACACAGAGCTGGTGCAGAGCCACGCGGACCTCCTGAGGAAGGTACAGTGTAAACAAAACATTCCTGTCCAGTAGAGATGGGTGGATTCTTTTCTTCCCTATGATTCTGTTCCGTTCACATTCATTAAGCGTGTAGTTTTTTAAATGGATTATTTTAAATGAAATCTCGCAATTAAGTGTGCAAATGACACCAAATTGCAAATGAAAAGAGGCATTAGGCACACTTGGACACTGCCTCTAAACGGAACGAACTCATCATCTGGGAAGGGAAGGCACTTCTTTACTCGCAGAGTTGTGGGAGAAGGGAACAGGCCAACCAGCCATGTTGTTGAAGCCGAGAGCCTGGATCCTTGTATCAGTCAGCTCCCATGTGCACTGTAGTGGCCCCGCTCAGTTTCCCAGTAGCTCCCTGGGGTTAGTGGCAGCGCGCCTGTGGAGTTGCTCAGAAGAGCTGTGTGTCCGTTTCAGAACGCGGAGGTGACCAAGCAGATGACGGTGGCGCGGGCCGCGCAGGATGAGGTGGAGAGCGTGCGCCGGGAGATGCAGGAGAAAGTGCGGGCGGCCAGGGAGGAGGCCGAGCACCAGGTGAGGGGCTGGTTCATCTCGCCTCTTTTCCCTGCTGCGTTTCCGTCTCCTTCAGACTTCGTATCACACAGTGTCTCCCAACCCTTCCTCCTGTACTGTTTGTGATGACATCAGTTCTCCAGCAGCCCATAAAATGAGTCAATCCAAGCTGGTTTTTCCTATTTTTATTTGTGTCGTGGAGAAAATGGGCTTACAATCAGTTGAGTCACTGTTGAAACACTTCCGATAGCCTGGAGTTGAGATTTATTCCTCTTTTTGTGTCATTACAGTCACAGTTTCAAACTAGACTTGAACACATTTCCCCAATTCCTTTCAAGCTGGCTTCACCATTGGCATGACTGGTGTTCTTCCTTGTACGATTCCACCTTCTCCTTTAGGCAAGGGGCAGATTGCGTGTTTGAAGTTCCAGGTTCTTAAGGAAAGGGGTGCAAGTGTCCTTTAAATTCTCTACCGTACAGTGCATGTGAAAGCTACCTCTGTGCTGGCAGTGCAAATAGGTTGTTTGTAGTCTCAACCTCCAGCTGCGCACGGATTCCTAACAGTGCAGGTATTTAGGGGCGCATACTATGTGCGCCAGGGACACATGGAGAAGCTCATGTGTGTGTTGTACTGGGATCACTGGTGCTGCAAGTGGTGTCGTAGGGGCAGCGGGTCTGATCAGGTCTGGGATGTGTCCACAGGAGAAAGAGCAGGCAGAGCAGCTGCAGGCCTTCCAGACAGAGCTGTGCACCAGCAGAGCAGAGCTGGAGCGACTGAGAGGGACCATGGCCTCCTCACAGCAGGTCAGCCGTTCTCATTGTCTGAGCTCAGGTTCCGACACGGGCCCTTTTCACAAGACCAAAGACACAGAAACCGTGACATTTCTAGCCAAGCCAAGTTCCTAAATATAAGAAGTCAGTATGCATGGTGCATTAACTGCGGTTTCTGAGTTCTTTACTTCTGTCTGGGGTCCCCCGGCTCCTCTTGCCCCTCGCAGTCGAGTGCAGAGCTGAGCTCCCGGCTGGCGGCCCTGGAGGCGGAGAAGGCGGCCCTGGCGGAGGGCGTGGCCCAGAAGGAGGCGGAGCTGGCGGGCCTGGGGGAGGAGCTGGAGCGCGTGCAGAAGAGCCTGGCCAGCGAGCGGGAGAGCGGGGTGAAGGCGTCCGAGGCGCTGCAGAACCAGCTCAACGAGAAGGTGAGCACGGCCAGCAGGCCGGGAGGCTGAGAGCCGCAGCTTCCAGGCCCCCGGTCTGTACATTTCTGCTGTGACCAAGCGTGCATTTTCATACTGCTGGTTTGCAGTTTTGAAAACATTTTCTCCACAAGAAAGGCGTGTCCTTCGTAAGCAAACAGGAAATGCCACCCTGATGTCCCATAACACAGTCCATCGACGCCTCTGCGTTCGAATAATTTTTACCCGTTTTGCTGCTGGCTGTACTGTGTAAATAGGGTGATCTTCATGAGTAGGCAGCAGCGTTCTTGCTGTGACAATTCAGGGTCTGTTAGGGTAAAAAGTAATACTGGCTGATTTTTGGTAATCCAGGAACAAATCAGAAGGCTTAATATGTAAATGAATGCGAATTTCATTTTCCAAATATTCACCTTACGAACAGTTTTTGAGGAACAGCTTAGGTTAGTAAGTCACGGAATGGGAGTGTTCAGTTTGTGTTTGGTGGGAGTTTAAAAAAAGGCCCATAAAAAATGATTTTTTATGAATTAATTTTCAGTCACAAAATCTAGATCAGTTAGGTTTTTCATTTTTTCAGTGCTGGTTTAATTGTCTCAATATTCCATTCCCATAGCTTCCCAGAGCATTCCCAGAGCAACCAGAGCTCTTCCTAGAAAATACGATCCCAATAATCAGTTTTCGTGATGTAATCGATCAAATGGTTTTGTGCAGGAGACCCGGGAACAGGCGCTAGAGAGCCAGCTGGTAGGCTCCCGCTGGGCCGCCCTGCAGGGAGCACTCGACGAGGCTCATAGGATCATACAGGACTCAATGGCGCGGATTGAAGACCCCGCGCACATCAGCTGCACCAGCTCCGCCGGTGAGCTCCTTTCCCCACCTTCTTGTTTCCACGAGATCAAGAGAAAGACACAGATTGATTTTTTTTAAATTGGATCTAATTCAGTTAACCCAGTCAATACTGTGTGATCACCACACTGCTCAGGATAGCTCAGCCAGCACACTGTTCTTCAGCGCAGGGTCTGACCTCTGTACTGTTACTCGGCAGACTACCTGGTGTCGCGGAGCCAGGCTGCGCTGGACAGTGTGGACAGACTGCAGGCCGCCAGGGACAAGTATCTGACTGACGACACAGGTGAGTCTGACACCACGTAACAGTCGAGTCCTGAGCCCAGGACGGAAAACAAAAAGAAACATAGTGACTCGTGTGCTCAGCAGCTCTTCTCCCTCCTCCAGATGTGTCGGAGCTGCTGCGGTCGGTGGCCCAGTTTGCCCACCTGGTTGGCGATACGATAGTGCAGGGCAGCGCGACGTCCCACATGGTTCCCCTGGAGCAGGCGGACTGTGAGTACCGACGTTCAGCACCACTCGTGTTCAGGAAAAGCCCATTGAGCAGCACGTGGCTTGTCACCGCTGTGCCGCACTGCAGGAGATGAGGTCATTACCAGCCCCCGCTGTGTTGTCCTGCAGCCTTGTGCTATTGCCATCCTGACCCTCATCTGCTGTGGTTGCCCGTGCTGTATCTACACCATTGTTGCTTTATGATGTACTAGATGTTGCATCAGTGATTATGCCACATTAAAAAGGTTGAACGCTCTGTTCAAGAGAACACCACAAGCGTGTGATCTTGGTCGTGGCTCAGGGAGGCCCTAGTGCAGCCCCAGGGCTCCTGCAGGCTGGTTGTCTGATGGTGCCCTGCCTCTCGTGTGCTTGGCAGCGCTCGCGGAGGCCGTGAAGGCGTGTGGCGCGGAAGCCTTGGCGTTGCTGTGCCAGCTGAAGGAGCAGGGGACGCTGGGCAGCGCGGACAGCGCCCAGCTGAGGGCCGGCCTGGCCCGGGTGCAGGCCCTCGCCGAGGTGAGCGCGCCGCTGCGTGTTGCTCTCGAGCTCCCGGGGCGAGTGAGCTCCTGCCCGAGCGCTGCCGCTGTGGAGGCCCCGGAGGTCACGCCGTCTCTCCCCTCTCTGCAGAGTCTGCGTCCTCGGGGGCTGGAGCTGCAGCAGGGGGAGCTGGGAGACTTGGTGGAGCAGGAGATGGCAGCCACCTCCATCGCCGTAGAAACAGCCGCCGCCAGAATCGAGGTACCCCCCTGAACCCCCCGGGCCCCCTCGCTGGGGTCAGACAGCAGCCCTCTGTTATCGCCTCGGGAATGACGAAAGCCTGTTGCACTGCAGTTAGACAGATTACAGGCTCCAGTCTCCCTTGCGGTTTGTGCTCATGAAGCTGGATTTGCCTACTCCTGCCTGCCTGTGCTGTCCTGAGTCCGCCTGGTTCTGCAGGGTCTCCCGTCCAGCACTCTGTAAAGGCAGCCATGGCATCACCCAGATCTAAAGCCACTCTGTTAAGGAGGTGATTCATTAAGGAAGTGCAGGAGTCACCTGGAGCAAAAAATCTGAACGTGCTTTGGCATGCGACAACCCGAGTTTCCTTAGTTAAATAAATGACTTGCTTAATTGATCAATGACTTACAGATGTCAACAGTTTAGAAACAGGCAGTTTAGGCCGATCTATAATAAGTCCAGGCTAGGGGCTCCCCCGAACCAGAAATGGGGAGTACGGTATAAGTTGCCCTCTCAGGGTCAGAAGTGAGCCCCCTTTTCATACAGCTCTGGAGCAGAGCCCCTCTTTCTCCTTCAGGACCGACATTCCTTCCTCTTTCTCTCTCCAGGAAATGTTGAACAAGTCCAGAGCTGCTGATTCAGGAGTTAAAATGGAGGTCAACGAAAGGTCAGTCAGCTCTTGGGTTTTCCTCTCCCGGGTTTTGACTTTTTTTATTTCATAACAGGATAGTTAACCCCTTCCCCCAGATCACAGACCCTAACATTTCTATTTATTTGGCTGCATCATGTCAATTTCATACTCAATCATTCAGTGTAGTTCTGCTGATCCGTCTTCTCCCCCCAGTGAAATTCATTGATCGTTATTAGTGGAATAGTTTGTTAAAATGAACTTGATAATGAAGTTATTTCAGCACTCTATCCCACTGAGTGGTAGTGAAGATTCCTTACCTAATGCTTCTAAAGTAAAGTGTAGCATTCTTCCTGTCCACTGCGGTCACTATATCTGGTCACTTTGTTTTTAATTTTGCAAGTAGAATATCGCCAAGTTGTCACACTGGAAAACCCTTTCAATAAGCATTTTTTCCCCAATGTTATTTATCTCACTGAATTTTTTTTAGAATCAGATTACCCAGTTTATTTTCTGCATCTGTGAATTAGAAGGGAACTAGAATATCGGAACATAAGGGATACAGGAGAAGGTCATCAGGCCCATCTAGCCCATTGGACAGTCACTGACTACTTGATTTGCGGCTCAGGAAGCGCCTTCTGTGATTTAGGTGCTTCTCCCCGTGTGAAACTGTCCCATGTTTCACTGCCAGCGCTTGGTCTTTAGAACACCTGTCCGGTTCCACTGTGCTTCACGTGGATTCCAGAGCCGCAGCAGTGGCCTCTGCTGGATTATTCTCCTGTGGTCAACTTAGTCATAGATGTGTGAAAACACTGGAGTGCACTGGCCATGTGCGAACAACTGCAGTGGACATGACTGTGACCTCGTTGTAGCGGCAAGGGGTGCATCTCCTGCTCGGACTCACTCCTCTTCCCCTTCCCATGGGGCTCTTGCAGGATCCTGGCCTCCTGCACAGAGCTGATGCAGGCCATCAAGGTGCTGGTGCTGTCCTCCAAAGACCTGCAGCGCGACATCGTGGAGAGCGGGAGGGTGAGTGTCCCGGGCGAGCCGGGAGCTTGGGGCATTTACATCGGGAAAGGGAGGGTCTGGGAGCAGAAAAAAATTGTAGAAGAAATCTTACAACAAGCCAGCGACACTCCTGGAGATAACATGCTGATCAGCTGTTGCACTTGCAGAGAGCAGAAAGTGTTTGCTTGCGCCTATCGGAGAAGTGGTCTCGGCTTCGCTCGCCTAATGCCAAGCAGACCACGAGAGAAGCTGAGAGCACTGCTGGTATATCAAGTTGATCTCTGTGTTCGGTGTTTCCCGGACTGCTGGAAGCATTTGTTAATGTTAGATCTTTAACACCTGCAAGGCTTCCCTGTTACTGAGAAACAGGCATGAAGATCCCTCCGCTCTCTGTTGTACCGATCACTCGGAGGTGCGGAGTCCATGCCGTGAGGGGTCGCATGAGCACCATGCCTCTAAGGAACGACTGCCTCTCTCTCCTTTGCCTGCAGGGGGCAGCGTCAACCAAGGAGTTCTATGCCAAGAATTCCCGCTGGACGGAGGGACTGATCTCCGCCTCCAAGGCAGTGGGCTGGGGGGCGACAGTGATGGTGTAAGTCCTCTGCTCCTGTACAGCTGTGCCTGTCTTCCCCCAGAGCTGCAGTATCGTTACAGTATCTTCCAGTAACCACAGCAAGTCTCCCTCCTCCCACATTTACAACTGAGAGGAAGCCACATGGTCCATCTTCATCTGGTTGCTTGTTGCTCTGTAATCCAAGAGCACCATCAACCCGATCCTTCAGGTGTCCAGCAGCTTGGTTAAAGAGCAGGCTTCAAACTCCTACGGCCCCAGGAGGCTCCTGCTCTCTGCCCTGCGTGTTCGGCATGTCCTCAGATCCTTACTTGAAGTTATTGTTACTTCTAAAATCTCCTACTGTAGTAAACCAAAGGCAAGTGCGTGGGAGGTCATCCTGAGGCACAGAAACGTGGTGATGGAGCCTGTGTGTGTGTGTGTGTGTGCCGGCAGGGATGCGGCTGACCTGGTGGTGCAGGGCCAGGGGAAGTTCGAAGAGCTGATGGTGTGCTCCCACGAGATCGCAGCCAGCACCGCGCAGCTGGTGGCCGCCTCAAAGGTAACCCGCCCATGACCGCACCTTTGGTACCCCAGCACCGTGGACAGGGGTCACCTCTGGCATAGGGCCGAGTGGGAGTGGGCTCTGTGGCTGCACCCTTATAAGTACCCTGAGAGTCATGGGGGTCTGGTCATGTTGCTGCTTGCTCTCGGAGATCCTTCTGGAAAAACTGTACTGTAAAAGATTCTGAGCTGTAAGAAACCAGACGTTTCCAGCAAACGAGAGATTTCTCTTCAAGAAAACTTAAATTACAAGACCTCCAAGGTGCATCAGTGTCATTTCCTGGAAGAAGCCAGAGTGTCGGTTTCAGCAGCGTGGCTGTGCACCTTCTTCTAGACTCCTGCAGTCTCTTGGTGTAAAATAGTACCTCTTCCTCTTCCCAATTGTAAATGCACACAGTGTTCAATTATTTCACGCTTTGTTCTGAAGTCCAGTGGTTGACTGTCAATGCCTTTGAGGAATTTGAATACTTGAATCAGCTGGCCTTGTACTCTTCTCCGTTCTAGGGTAAAACATTTTTAATTCTCTCTCACCAATAAAGGCGCTCACCTGAGCACAGGCTTAGCTCTTCGATCACAGGTTCGAGTTTTCTTTGTCACTAGCCTGTAAATTGTGATTCCCCAGGTAGCCAGTTGTGATTAAGAGATTGCAGGTTTGATGCCTTGTGTTAATCTCAACCAGTAAAAGTCTCGGCACAGTCAGAGAGCCTGAATCATGCCTCTAGCCCACTGTGACCGAGATTCTTCAGGTGGGGGCGCACAATGGGCTGAGTACCACTGTGGGAGAGGTGGGTTAGGTTTCAGCAACAGTGACCCCATGTGGCCTCCTGGGCAATTGTCGCCATGCGGTGCTGTCTGTGACGAGCCCCTGCTCCAGTGGGCTGTGGTGCCTTTGACCCGTTAGAGACCCGTTAGAGATTGTCTTGAAGAGTCCGCCTGCACTTCCTCATTCTCCGGCTGCCGGGGGCGGGTTTGAGCTGAGCCATCGTTTATACGAACACAGACCCGGTAATTCTAGATCCGTTAACGAGCAAATGCGCCCTGTCTGCTGTGGCCCGCAGGTGAAGGCTGATAAGGACAGTACCAACCTGGGCAGGCTGCAGCAGGCGTCCCGCAGAGTCACCCAGGCCACCGCTGGCCTCGTGGCCTCCACCAAGTCGGGCAAGTCGCAGATCGAAGAGACAGGTGAGTCCTTGCCCAGCCCCAGCACAGCTGCTCTCTCCTCTGGCGGGTTCGTTCCCAGGATGTTCCTGTGTGCGTTGTGCCTTAAGGTCATCCGAAAAAGTGTGTGTCTCAAAAGACACAACAGCATTGGCTCAGCTAAGGGTTGTGAAAACCTGAGCTGTCCTGTTTGGAGAGAATTATGTCCCTCTCGTGGAGTTTTTCATTACTTGCGAGTTCAGAGCTGTCACTGCTGCTGATGACACAGTAGGGCTGCTTGTTCGCTTGGGAACAGCTACCCCAAACAGAGAGGAGGCTGAGTGTCCAATCATTTCTGTCCAGACTCATGTAGGGGAAACAGCTCAGAGGAGCTCAGCCAGACTGTCCCAAATGATACACAGTAATTGTTTAATCCACCAAAAGTAGGCACTGCTCTGGAATGTCGGTGCAGGAACACAATGTGAAAGTCAGGAATGGCCTCATAATGCAGGAATCCTGAGCAGTGGTGTGGCATTTCCTTTTTAGAGCTGAACCACAAGGCAGCCACTTTGCATTTCGTGCGTTGCAGGCTTCATGCTCGCCACCAGCTGATGCCAAATGCGAGGTGACGGTTTAGATTTCTTAATTGAAAATCTTGGCAGTGAGCAGTGAAGAGATAAGTTACATGTTTGTTATCTGAACAGCTGTAGCAGCACATGGCAGTGTGCAACCCTTTCTCATGACCTCACTGCTGTGGTTTTAAATGCACTTTTATACACCCGGTGCGTTTGCCAGCACTGCAGACAGCGGATCAGAGGCTCCTCTCAGAGGCTGTGCGGAAGCGCTTGTAAGTGGAGTCTTTCTTGTCCTGACTCGCCCTGTGCTGTTTCAGACACCATGGATTTCTCCAGCATGACGCTCACCCAGATCAAGAGGCAGGAGATGGACTCACAGGTAAGAAAACCAAGAGCCCTTTCTGAGGGGCTTCAATATCAGTGTCCAGCACCATGCTCCTCATTGATTCTGTAAAGCATTCGATAGAGTACCTGTGACTCGAGTGACTTGAGAAGCATCCACTTACTGTAAAATCTCACCGCCTAAAAGTGAGCTGCAGTGAGTGTAGTCCTGTTCTTGCCCTGGAGCACAGTAACTTTGGCCCGTTCCAGTAGCCGTGTGTGACCTGCGAGATGCAGGAGAATGTGATCGTTTGGGGGTGTGGCAGGGCCATGGTAGGGCGGGGCGTGGCAGGGGATGGGCGTGGCCAGCGCTGACCCGTCCCTCTCGCCAGGTGCGGGTGCTGTAGGGGAGGTACAGATGCTTTGGGGAGTGTGGTTGTCAGGGGGCGTGGCCAGCGCTGACCCGTCCCTCTCGCCAGGTGCGGGTGCTGGAGCTGGAGATGCACCTACAGAAGGAGCGGGAGCGGCTGGGCGAGCTGCGGAAGAAGCACTACATGCTGGCGGGCGTGGCGGAGGGCTGGGGCGAGGAGGAGGGTGAGGACACCGACTCGAACCCGGCCATGTTCAGGGTCCCCCCGCCGCCCTACTGAGGAGTCTGCTGTTTTTTCTGCCCCAGAGCAAGGAATTGCAGCTCCTAGTCTACCAACTCGGCAACTAGCAGGGCAGAGTTTCTGTTTCACTGAGTCGGAGTGTTTCTGTACAAGCCTAACTCCAGAACACCCAGAGTCGAGTTTCCCCCAAGTTGAAAGCAGTTCATGTGGGAATCAAGAAGGAAATTGATACTGTTGTTTAATATGTGTGACCAGGCATCATTAGAAGGTTAGTTAGGTAATAGTTAGGCGTGCTGTGCAGATGCGCTGTGTGTTGCATGCTGGCCCGTGGCTCCAGTGTAAGTGCTGCTGTTTTCATTGCAGGGACTGGCTGAGGCCCAGGCCCCGCCCCCGTTTCCACGGCGCAGACTGGGCTGCTCCCTCCTGCCCCTCCCTCTCATCAAACCTTTTCTACTCTTCCATTCTCTCCCTTTTTAGTTTGATTTTTATTCCAAGCCAAAATAAAAGGTGCTTTTCCTCAGCCATCTATTCCTCCCGCAGCCCGAAGACTGTGAAACTTCCCTGATCTAGAGCGAGACACCCTGAACAGGGGCAAGAGGCGAGACTTGTGCACGCTTGGGACAGAAGGTCTGTGGGGGGGATACTGGCCGCCTGCCTTGTCCTGGTGCCACCCCCTGGAGTGCTGAAGAACTACAAGCCTGCAGCTGTTGGACGGATACCTTTTCTGTCTTCAGACTCTCAAGTTGACAAGAGGACACTTTTACACTCTGCAGCCAATGAGAACTCTTTTATAAAAACAGTTTTAAAATTAAGGACCCTTTTGCGAGAAAACGCCTCTCCGACAGCTGAGGGTCAGAATTTGAGTGCTGGACGTCCTCAGCAGCCGGAGGGCGATGCCCATGCTGCAGGGGCGTCCTCGCGGGCCAGGACGCGTCACAGAGCTCAGGGATGAGGGTCTCCACACAGGTTTGAAGTAGGCTGGAGCTGATTGGGTCAGCCCACGGGGTGTCCTGGCCCTCTCGCTGTGGACACCGGTCCCGCAGAAAGAGATTTTAAACTTCCCACTGGTGGTGGGGGGGCAATGGGAGGTGGCAGCACACGTCTGTGTTGCTCTTATTTTAAATTCCCAGGTGCTCGATGAATAACTTCCAGGCGGCTGCTGCAGAGTTCTCCACGTGTCTGTGGGGGGCTTGTAAAGAGAGGAGAAGCTGGCCAGACTGGGTCGTCCCGGGTCCCAGAGTTGGGATCTCGCATCGCTGCTCTGGTGGCCTTGGTCCAGACCCTGGTCAGACAGCCTGGCACACTCGTGCAGAAGAGGACATCTTTCTTGGACAGTATTGTTCAGACTATTCCACTGTGCTACTGGGACCCCTCTTCCACTAAGGTGCATGCAGGAAGGCAAAAAAAGCACTCCATGCTTATTTTTGAAGTGTTTCCCATTTTTTTCCTTCTCTGTCTCCTGTCTGTCTGGCATTGGCCATTTTGCACACTAACTCAGGCTTGCGTTCATGCACAGTTCTCTATTTAATCTATTTAATAACTCGGGTGCAGGAGGTTCTTGCAGGGGCCTGAGCAGTGGCAGGGGCTGGTGTTGCCGAGAAGATGACTGTTCTCTCTTCCTAGAGTTTTCCGTGATCAATGAGAAACCTCACACTTGGGTTGTAGATTGTAGCTCTCTGTGCTTGACAGTGATTAGACTGTTCTTGACTCCATTAGTGATTTTACAGCAGTAATAAGGGATTGATCTCTTTACAGAACGGAAGGGGGGCTTGTACTTCATGGTTTGTGCTCAGTGGCATTCTGTGGCAGAATCAGCTGGGGTAGCAGTGTTTTGTACCCCGTGCACATACTGTGCCTTGCAGAAGTATTCGCTTCCTGTATGTTGAAGAATTCTAAGAAATCTACAGCATTTTTTATCAAACTGTACACTGATATGAGGAGGTTGAATGCAAACAAAATCTGCAAACATACAAAGTCTGTTTGTTGCATAAGTATTCAGCTGTCTAAGTCGGTGCTTGGTGGCAGTACCTTTGACAACAGTTACTGCTGTCAGTATCTTTGTATCAGTCTCTACCAGCTGTGCACAGTGAGGTGGTGTAATTTCACCTATTCCTCCCAGCGAACTCCAGAACTCCAGCTCTGACAAGTTGGTGATGGATTATTCTGTTGTGATTTGTAAGTTTCCTCTGTTTCAATCACTGGGTCACTCAAAGACCATCGCTCTGGCTGTGCTTCAAGCCATTGTCCTGCTGAAATGTGAGTTTTCAGCCCAGTTTTCAATTCTGGGGTGACGAGGACTTTTTCCTCTAGGATTTGCCTGAACTTGGGCAGCATTGATTTTTCCTCAGTTCGTGTTCCCTCATTTTTCATTTTTTGCCAGAATGCAATTAGACCAAAAGATTACATTTTTGTTACATCTAACAGTAGATTTCTGTCTCACATTTTCGTTCTTTCTCATACACAATATGAGTCTTTTTCAGTTAAGAAGTTTTCTTGCCCGTTGCCCATACTGGCCAGCTTTGTGTAGGGACCACAGCAATTGTCAGTGTATTAATAGTGACTCCTTTCTTAAACAGAGCTCTGCAGATCTTCACAAGTCACTGCTGGCCTCAGCGTCGTGCAAAATCATTTCCTCTGCCTGGTTGTTGTTTGGAAGGGCTGCCTGGTCTAGATAGCATCTGGGTGGTATGATGTACATTCCACTTAATGATGCACTTCACTGTTCTCAGAGGAACCTTCTCCTGATCTGTGCCTCACTACTACTTTATTCTTGACCTGTACCAAAACTTCCTTGGTCTACAAGGTCGATTTCTTGTATCACTGTGAAAGATGTTTGAAATCTAATTTCAATCTGAGGGAACCTTTAGCATATGCCGGTGTATTTACTTTGATGCCACGTTAGTCCACTTAGATTACACACAGACTGTGCCTATAACACTGGGATCTTTCAAACAATTTTTTGCATCTTAACCGATTTCAGGTTACCTTAAAAAAGAGGTTGAATACTTATGCACCCGATAATCTACTAAATTTCTTTGAAAATCTAATATCTGCTGCCTGTCGGCATTTTTAACTATTAGTTTGGAGTAAATATATGAAACATGAAGTCCTGTCTGAAAGTGTTGTGACTGCAGGCTCAGACAGCAATAAAATGTGCAGACATTTGCAGCAAGTGAATGCTCTTGCAAGACATTAGATAATATTGACTTAGAAAATGTGGACGATGGGGGAAAAACATTGAATAGTTTTTCCTTGAAACATTGTTCTTTAATTCAGTTTTTGAAATCAAACTAAATGTTTCATCTGCTGTGTTCTGCAGCAGCTTTAACTGAATCTCAGTGTTCTGTAAGCAGAGGCCTCAGGCGCAGCCTGACCTGTTCATTAATGGTTTCACTGGCTCTATAGAAGCAGCAGGGACCGAGTCCTGTTTGGACAGCAGTGGAGAAATGCTGCCTCCTATAGTCTACATTTCAGTTAGGTGACAGTAAATAGCCTTAAGTCAAAGACATCTCTTTTGATTAACAAAGTCTTGTGTTAACCAATCGCAGGCTGCTTTGCAAACAAGATGAGCGATTGTAAAGACAGCCTTGGTGCCCTTGACAGCACGTATCCGAGATCTCTTCCCATGCTGCGCTGGTCACATTGTCCCTCCGCTGGCGATCGGGTTCCCATCGCAGCAGTCTGCCCAGCCCGGCGAGCCCTGCGACTCCAGGGCGCTTTGAAACCACAGCTGCGGTCAGGTGTGTCGTCGGGGTGATTGTTGACTACGAGGTCACTTGTGAAGTTTGTGTACATATGTATATTTAAAAATCAGGTGAAAAGGATGTCAGTGCCTTTGGAGGGAGGGGAGACGGTGTGCTTCCACTCTGAAATGTGGAATGTTTTTGAGAAGTGGAAGGAAGAGGACTTTAAAATGGAGTTTCCATTTTGGTGCATTTTGCTTTAAAGGGGGTGTTGTGTCAGGTGAGGCGCACAGCCTGCCAGCGTAAAAGCTGAGCGTTTGTAAAAGAGCCTGTTGAGGCCCTGCGATCCGGAGGCGAGCGCCATGCGCTTCCTGCTGCACTCCTCCCTCTCAGGCCTGAAGTGGCTGCAGCAGAGCGGCGAGGAGAGGCCCAGGGAGGTGCTTCCAGTGCGGCTTGGACTGGGTGAGAGCGAGAGACCGTCGATTCTGTTTTCAAGGTGCTGTTCTTTTTTTTTTTTTATTTTGTAATCTGTAGCAGTTACCGTAACTACATGTCGCAACTTCCCAGTACCATGTAAATGGTCACTGTTCTGTGTTTGAGTGCTCCGCAGGGTGAGGAGAGGGGGCGGAGTGGTCCTGCGGGTTTGCTGGTGTGGCGGTCCGGCCAGTGCTGCACCCTGGGGCCTGTAGTCCAGAGACCCCTGCCTGGCACCCCCACACGGGCGGCGGTCAGGCTCCCAGGAGCCTGGAGCAGTATTATCCGCATGAGCTGCGCAGCTTCCAAGGGCTCCGTGGTGCGAGAGGAGCTGGGTGACCCTCCTGCACAGCCCAGAAGGCGCAGGCACGCCCCTCCCCACCCCAGCCCTGCAGTGAGCTGAGCGAGGTAACAGTTGTGTTTCCAGGTGGGGTTAATAAAGGGAAATACAGGTGTGTAACAGATCTGTGATTGCAGTTTTTCTTAGGTGTGAGAAATGTAGAATAACCCAAACCGGTAGATCATCACAGCCTTAGCCATGAAGTGTTTGTCCTGGCAGACCAGCGCTGGTTTAATGAATTGGAGCACAGTGTGGAGCGAGTGAGTGGGTCAGTCTGCGTGCCGTGGGCACCTGTGTGTGCGGGTCTATTTATGTGGTGTGTGTGGGTGTGATCCAGCTTCTCCAAGTTCATCCTGTACTTACAGCACTGCTTTAGTTTGTCTTGGAAAAGTGATAACACTGGGTATTTTATTATTTTTCAGATTTTATTATTCAGATGATATGTTAGATTAATAGAGTTTCTGGTTTCTATCGTTGGTCCTACCAAGCCCAGCCAGCCTTTCAACTGCCTCTCTTTTGCTTCACGATGGAAAAATACAACTTTATTAAATTCAACAACAGAAAATATATATAAAAACTGCTTCTTTGTACAATATACTAGAAGTGTGTTTTTTGTTTTTAATTAAATATATAAAACATGCACAAGAGTGAAGCTGTTTTTGTTATTCTCTAAATGTGGTCTGGTGATTAAATCTGCAATAAATGACAGAAATTTACCTGCAACTGAAGGGTGCTTTGTTTTTGACCCAGAATAGCTGGAGTTTGAGCTGTAAAGTGAGCCGGAGAACTTGTGGGGTTCCAGTGTCTGTGGACCGGCTGGGGGCAGTGCTGGTAGTGGTGTCAGTGCAGTGTAAATCTGGTGCAGTGAGCGAACTGGGCAGGTTTGCAGATGACAGAAAAATGAGAACAATTGCTGATGCGGCCAGTGAAGTTCAGAAAGAGGCCCTTTCCCATCATGGCCTCCTAATAATCCCCAATCTCTGAACTGGCTTCATCGCTCTTTTCTTCTCCCCACTGAGAGCTGGTGTGTGTGAGCGTACTGGCGCATCATCCAGGTGGGGCTGCACACTGGTGGTGGTGGAGGGGATCCCCATTACCTGTAAAGTGGAGTGTCCAGAAAAGAGCTATAGAAGTGTAGGGAATTATTATTTTTACATGGACCTACAATACCGGCCTCATCTGGTGTGTAACTGTTCCAGTGAGGCTGCACCAACCACTAGGTGTCACTCTTGCATCACATCAGAAGTCCCAGGGATTCTTACAGAGGGCAAAACATCCCCAATAAGGGAAGATTTATTCCCCTTTTTGAGCTAAAGGAGACTGGAGTTTTCTGCTCTCATCCTACAGAGCTCTTGGATAATGTTTTATTTATAATACTTTTAACTGAATTATTTTCCAATTTAAAGCTTTTTTTCTTCTTTATTCAGCAATTGGACATGTAAGTAGGATTGGCAGAATCTTGTGGGCGATGAAAATGACTCGTATGGTTTTAATTTACCAGACGTTGTTAATTAAGTTCAGAAGGAAGTGACTGAGAGTGGAGGTGCATTGCCAGCACCAGTGCTCCTCTCTGTGTCAATGCAGTTGTCAGATACAGGGGTTATTTGAATTCTGTGTACATTAGGACTGGCTGTTGGCAGTTCTAGAGACGATAGCTGTTACTTTTCCCCTGTGTGGCTTTTCCCCATTTTGATTTTACGAGAGACCCCCTTGTTTCTACCAGTCCTGTGTTCTTAAAGAGCTGCAGACAGGAGAGGCCAGACCGAGAGCTGAAGGGTGGAAGAAGTGATTCACAGGCAGAACTCTGAGGTTGCGGGTTCGAGGCTGGGTCATGCCACGAGTCAACGGGCGCAGCAGGCTGAGGATGGGAATAGTGGGCCAAGGCGCGCTCAGCTCTCGCCGACACGGTGCCCCCTGTGGGCCTTCCAGGCCCTTGCAGGCTTGTTGCCCAGGAGGGCGTCCTCACCCAGCCAGCGTGGTAAAAGCCGAGCATCTCCAAGGGCGGGGGGGAGAGTCTGCCCTCGCCACCTCACTCTCCCCTGTGAGCGGCAGCAGGGTTCGCAGCCATGAGCCGAGGCGTGAAACACACAACTGGCCATTCCAGCGGGCGTGGGTTAACACACGTAACTGAACCAGCCAAATCTTAAAAAGAGAAAAAAGATGTGATGCTTCCTCCTTGTCACTGGAACAAGAACAGCGCGCAGTCTGTGAGCGAGGGCCGAGTGCCGAGTCAGGCCTCCCCCGTCGCCAGCCTAGTGAGACTCCCAAAGCAATCGGCAGAAGTGGCCACTTCAATCACCCAGCGGCCGCCCACCAGAGCCCTTGGAGGTCATTATAGCCGCACGAAGCAGGCCGCCCTGTGTTTTTAATGACCCCTCTCCACCATGATGGGTCTGGAGTTGGCAGGAAGGAAACCTCAGCCCACACAGGCTGTCTGCGTGGCTCTCCTGGGGAGATGGCGGCCTGTGCTGCAGAGAGGTTCATGTCTCACATCCACCCTCCCCTCCTTCCACAAACGGGACCTGGGGTCCCCAGGCCTGAGAGCCTTAGGGTGGGGGGGGGAGGGTCTACCCTTCCGGGGGCATATGGGTATGTAAATTGACTCTCAGTTGGAAAGAAAAATGAATTCAAAGATATTTAAAAGCTTGTGAGCTGAGACTGTCAGTGTGTAACTACGAGAGAGGCATCAAACTGCAAGTTCCTACGAATCGCAACAAAGGGGGACTCAGACAGCAGGCCTTGTTCGAATCAGCCCTCGAGGAGGCAGGTGGATGGAGAGAATTCGCCTGCATTGTTGCGCCGCAGAGCAACACACACACACACACACACAATGCAGGAGCTGAAATTATACACTTGCCTGCAGGGGCACGCCGCAGAGCTAAAGATAGACCCCCAGCTCCTCGTCAGCTCTCGCCTGCAGGCTCAGCGCAGCTCGCTGCTGCCCTCGGCCCCTGCCGCAGAGTCCTCACCAGACACCCAGCGTCTTCATTAAAACTCACCCCTAGCTCGCTGGGGATGTGTGTTTGAAATCAGGTCAAGATCAGTAAGTTGTAATGTCATAAAGGTATTACTAAAAAAGATCTAAAACACCGATTTAGATTTGAGGACTGTAATCATCTTGGATTTCAGTCAACAGTTTTTGCCCTGATACTGATCATCTTTCCCTCTTTCCATTTTTTTTTTCATTTTAGTGTTTGCATGTGAATGCTACTTTTATAACTTCCTGTTAAATTTGGAATTTGTCACCTCCTCATCCACCTACTGGCACCTTGTAGTCCAATCAGTGCTACTTCACCACCTGCTCTAATGCGTTCTGCCCAAATAACAAGTGTTCGGCAGACTGATGTTCAAGAGGCATTTCATTGCGTCGTAAAGGTCTGTTAGAAACGCAAAAGATTGCGGAGGCCCTGGATGAACAGCTGGAGAATGGAGGGGCAATATAATGGGACAAATGGGGCTATAGGTGCGAATCCCCTCGCAGGAGCCCCTCATACCTACAGGCCCTCTGCAGATTCTCTGCCCCCCAGAGCAGGGATGGGCTCTAGGGTCAGGTGTGCACAGAGAGAGGGATCCTGGGGGATCCAGGACGAGTCTGATAACCATGCAGACAGTTCCCTGAACACAGACACCCCTTGTGCCCAGTGCACAGCGCCCCCCCCCGGCCCAGGGTCCCCCCAAGGGGGGGGTCACACCATCTTCAGTGCCTGGAGCTGAGCGTCTGGCAGTGCCGACAGCAGGACACAAGCCTGCGGGCCATCAGAGGCACCGACTGCAGGCTGTTACTGGATTTGCAGCTACTCATGCAGATACAGCCCAGTGCTCAACTCAGAAGTGGCAGCCCCAGCATGGGCAGAGACAGCGGTGGGCCAGCGGGTTCGCGTACAGCACCTCATCAGTTTAACCGCAGGAGAGTCACCAAAGCCATTCTGCTTGGTGACCCTTGACCCCTGCATGTACATCACCACACAGAGGAACAACTATCATCTGGCCTGCAGCATCCTCCTCCTGTTGCTGCTTTTCCTTCTCTTGGGGATGGATCTCAACGATCCTAATGTTTCTCTCGTGAGGCACCAGAACTTCTTAAGTTCTTTCATGCTTTTCCCCAGATTTCCTGTTGCTTTCCTACACGTTACTGTGCTGTTACCATGAACAACCTTTCAGAGGGCTGTACTGAAAATGGGATCCCAGCCTGGTCTGGTTTCGCTCGGGTGCCTTTGTGAAATGGGAAGGCCGGGCTCAGGGCCCGTCTCTGGACCACACGCAACAGACTGGAGTCTCGCTCTCCTGCTCTCTATTTGGGAAGATCAGCGTTCTGCCTCCCTGCGATGACTCAGAACCCTGTTGCTAGGAGACGTGTCCCTTGCAAACACACGACCATCTGGTCTTCTAATAAGGAGCCTTTCCCGAGGAGCAGCTCCTCCGTGCTAATCCGCTCCGGAAACAGGGAGCAGGGCGCCGGGACTCGGGCTTGAAACCCTTAAGGACAGCGAGACTGCTCAGCCGATACCCCCCAGCTCGTGCATTCAGAGAAGGAGAAGCAGCGTCAGTCTAATCCTGCCACTGATTATACCTGCAGTCATGATGAAGAGTTTGAGAAGAGCCACTGGACTACAGGACACCTGCAGAGCACGACGTTAGTGCACCTATTCTGAAAAAAAAACGAGACCGAAGCAGTCTGTAACGCAGGAGAGACAGCCGGACAGCGCCGGTCCCCACTACTGCCACCCACAACAGGCCACACCCCAGCACACCGGGCTGAGACCAGAGCAACATGCAAACTCCACCCCGACAGTTTCCAGACCGGAATAAAAACCCAGGACCCACCCTCTGTGAGGTCCCAGCACCTTCCTCCTGCCCCTAAACGCCATCTTTTCAACCAGTAACTGGACAAGCTGAAGAATCACACTGGTGCCTCATGCCTGTCTGTCAGAGCTGCCACGAGCTCTGCTGACAGAAGACCAGCACACGGGGCTCACCTGGGGCTTTGATATGATGAGAGTCTTTATTGATGAGGTTCCAATAACACTGTCATCACCTCTGCGTCTTTTACAAAAGACACAAAATTAAAACATTTCCGATTTGTAAAAAAGTAGCAAATACACAGTTCACCCCCTGAGGGGCTCAAGACAGAAAGCACAGCGTATACTACAGAATAACTAAAAAAAACACATTAAATATGACTATTTACATTGTGTAATATATTATAATGTTCACATTCAGAGTGAATATATATATATTAACATCTGTAGTTTACAATAGCGGACAATGCATTATCTCACAGAGAAAGGGCTATCCACTAAGAGCGGCTTTCAGCCAATCACAGAGAAGGGGCTATCCACCAAAAGCAGCTTTCAGCCAATCATAGTCCTTAATATGCACAAGCAGAATCAGTTGTATTTTTTCTGGTCAGCCAATCAAAGATGTGTAGGCAGGATCTTTGGTTCTGCTGGGTTTTTCAACTGGTTAATTCCCCTGTCAGTCAGTTGTCTTGGTTTCCAGGGGTTCCAATCACAAATGAGAAGGATTAGGAATTTCTTCCCTTTAGAGCCACTGGAGTTTACAGACTGCAAGGAGGCAGTGTAACAACACAAGAGAGGCAAAACACTGCAGTCACTTACCAGCCAAGTGTTTACACTATGAACTACTACTCTTTATCAAAGAAATTCTCATGTTTGTACTTGCTCTTGGAATAACACAGGTAACTCAGCTTGGGGAATCCGACTCCAGTCATCAAAGGCCACAGTGTTTTCTGCCCAAGTTAAATTTTCTGAGCTGAAAAAAAAAACCTTTAAAGTCCTTCAGCGGTTTCATGATTAAAATGAAATAAACCAAGAACATTAAAGACTGCTGCCCTGGCACCAGCAATGTTTAAAGATGCTGAACCACACTGAGGCAGCAGGAGCACAAGAGTGTGTTCGGACAGGGGACCAGAACTTTTATATTTGATTGTAACTGATCTGTGGGCCCAAACTCACCCATGCGGGGGTGGAACAGAGGGACTTGGCTCTCCCCAGCGGAAGCAGCCGACACAAACGGTGGACACACACCGGCAGAACTGCTCGGCTGGGAGTACAGACCTGGCCTGGAATCTTCTCCGCATGCAGGGACTCTCTGAAAACACCTACCTGGCAAATCCGACACATCGTCCTAAAGAGAGCTGAAGACACACTCCTCATGGACAGTCAGTGGGAAAGACAAACAGCAAACAGCAGACCAAACCGGTCTTCTGTCCATGAGAGATCAGTGACAACTGACTGCAGGCTTTGCTTTAGCTGCTGCACAGTGAATCTGCTTTAGATAATAACGCCATTGAACTGGCAGTGGATACATCTCATCACTGAAATGGTAAAGAAAGGGGAAAGGGTCCACGAGGGTCCAAGTAAGTGCTGAAAAATCAGCAATTCAGGGAAAAGAGGTCAGAAGGGTGAAGATCTGAAGACACTTGACTCAGAACAACGTTTACACACATTCCTAAAACTCACCGACAACAATATCCTGCTTTATCCTGGATGCTTCAATCTTAACCTTCCCAGCAGGCACCTGTCTGGAGCTCTGAATCGTCTGCCTCCATGTTGGGGACGTGAGTGTTATTAAAGAGAGGAGAGACCAGGCCTGGTTCTGCAGAGAGACAACTGATCAGTTCCTACAGGTCACCCTCAGATCATCAGTTTTTACACAGCTGAGTACAGACCCCAGTGTCAATCAGTAAGTACCATGTTAACTCGGCCAGCTTTGGGTCAGGCTGAAACGGAGAGTGAAATTTGGAAAAGGCTGAACTGAAATGGCTCCATGTCTACTGTTCCAAACGGACGACTGGAGGGTGACCTGTAACGCCCACTTACAGCTGCCCCTGTGCCCCCCCTCTCTCCGCCCCCCCCCCTGTGGAGGCGCACGCCTTGACCCTTGACCCCTGTGGTGCGGCGAGGAGGAGAGAGAAGGGGGTGCTTGCACCCGCGGCAGAGGGCCACAGGAGACGGGTGCAGCAGGGGCTCCCTGGGGCTCCAGCCGGTGCTCTTCTCCTCCCGTGAGCAGGGCAGGGCCCCGAAACCAGACGCTTCACCCCCTCCCTGCCGCCGGAGCGCGGCGCTCAGTCCCAGCCGTTGTCCTTGATCATGTGCGCCAGCTCGATGATGAACTTGCCCTCCTTGTACTTCTGGCTGCTCTCGAAGGCATGCTCCTGCAGGGGGCGACAGGAGACCGGGGGTTAATCCGAAGGGCCAGGTGCCCTGTCCACGGCTCTCGGCCTCCCCGTGCTGACAGATTCAGGGGGACACGTCCTGCTCAAGCACACAGACGCTGCTGGGCTACAGAGTTTCGTCGGTACAGCTTGCAGCTGTAATCCCACAGGACACTGGCTGCTTCTTGCGAGAGGCTGGTGTTGTACACTACGGTAAAGCCACAGTAAAGCACAGAGAAACTGTGGTAAAGGCAAGGGAAAGCATGAAGAGACAGGCTTTTAAAAGTACATGTGTGGTAACCAATGTGTGGTAACATATGTGGTAACCAAGACACAAAACTTCTAATCAAGAGGGCTTTCATTAAGGCTGCAACACAGAAACGTCTTTGACATGTGACTCTGAACTCTGGTCTGATGCCACTGACAGTTTCTCCTCCCCCTGGGTATCAGCAGACATGAGAGGACACGGCGTCCGACTCGCCAAGAAGCACAAACTGAGAAATGCAAGTCAGCACCGCTGGCAGTGTGTCAGCGACACAGAAAACATCCTGCCAGGATTATTAATATCTCCGCAGCACAGAGCCTACATCCACAACGCCAGACGAGATCCCATGACACCTCCTGCCGTCCGCCTACTAGAAAGTGTCCTGCAGCGCTCTTGTAAAATATTCCCAAGTAACACTGAAAATTAACAAGTGCCCAAGCCCTGCGTGCTTGCAGGGGCCGGTGGGGCTCACACAGTAACAGGTGTGCTTGATTTCCAGCACTCAGCTGCCTCAATTCACTCAGACCGCTGGATTCAAACCGGTAAATGTTTTCAACTACTCAAGAGTTGGTATTCAGATGAATAGTTAAAAGGACATTTCCAGTGTCTGTGAGATGAATCATGTTATTAGTTTTCCAATGGTACTACATCTGAAAGTGGGGACTGGGATGGAAGAGACTCACGTATTTCCAGCCCAGCGTGGTCTTGCAGTTCTCGCAGTAGATGTCAGCCACAGCGTGCAGGCCTGTCAGCAGCACCCTCTCCTCCGCCGGCCCACAGCCCACGTTCACCCTGCAGGGAGAGCCACCGAGCATGAGCACCCACACCCTGCACCCACTCCCACACCACACACAGCACCTCACCCTGCACCCACACCCTGCACCTCACCCTGCGCCCACTCCCACACCAGACCCTTTACCCACCCTACTATTTTGTATGGGGTGTTTATATCAGCCTTTTTTTCATATTCTCATTCATACACATTTCAACACAAACCCAGGATAAGCGCTCCCTAACATCGCAAGCCTCTGATGTGTGCCATTGTGTTACCCAGCCTCAGGGGTGCGAACGAAGACACTCACACAGAGTTGAAGAGATAGGCCCGGCCCTGGCTTCCTTGAAAAGACTGCAAGACAGAAAGAAAAGACTCACTGTGAACTGGAGCTGATGTCTCTGGGAGGACAGCTGGACTCAGTGAAGAGCCAGAACTAATAATACTGTCAAAGAGAAATATTCCTGCAGTATTACTGGAGACACTACACTTTCTAACGGAAACATGAGCTCTGTTCCTCTCGCCCTTGCCTTATCACTGTGCCAGATGAGGCCTAAATGCATGCTCCAATAGACTTTCAGACAAGCTAATGGGAAATTAAAACATGAATTTGCATTTCTAGTTTATTACTGTGAACACAGATGATGTCATTCTTCTACAAATTAAAAAAAAACTATTGTCATTATGTACTTATAAAGTTATTGTTCTGCACTGCCCCAGCACAATCTTAGATGGTATTTTCTACAACAGTTATCCTTTCTGTCCAAAGTATTAAACACAGCCCAGCAGGTAGAGTGTCCCCTGGTTCCTGAGGATTATAAAGTAATAGCATACCAGACCTTTTGCATCAATGCACTGTTTAATGGGAAAAATAAAGGCCTCAGAAATTCCCATATCCTCACGAGAGGCATGATTCTCAGTGCACATGCCTGTGCAGCATGACCAAAGGCAACGACAGGCCTGAACCTGATGACACTGAGTCACAGGTTTACAGTACATCCCATCGAACATGGGGGGATTCCCTGGAATTCCTCATCGGACGCAGTTCAGTGCTGCCCAGATCTCAAGCAGAGCTGTATCACCTGTCGTTGGCTACGTGGTCCCATATCTCCTCGGACATCTGCGAACATCTTCCAAGGACGATACAGCTGTACTTGCTGCAGAGATGGACTAAGCTTTAAACGTGGTTATTATCTATTTTATTCTAATGCAGGTATTATCTGTTTTTTTGTTAGAGCTGTATATTACAATTCTCTTTTGTATGGTGAAAAAAGAAGAGTGATCAGCTATTGGTCAGTGTTCCTGCCGCCTGTGAGACAGAGAGTGTCTGTTCAACATTACTGTCTGGGATCCACTGAAAGCTTTGTATTAATCCAAGCATTGAATTATTAAAAGATAGTGAACCAAATAATCAAAACACAGATAACATCAATGGCATTTAAAATTAATCATATTCAAAAGTATTCAATAATTCTTTGGCAGAAAGTTTAAACCTGGGACTGAAGCAGTTTAGAACTGAAAGTCTGGTGATGCTGCAGGATGCTGCAGGAACAGTTGGCCTCTCCTTGATTTCAGTTCATACCAGCCCCCTGCTGGCACTCCCCTAGATTCCAACCCCAGCTTCAGTTCACACCCACTATTTGACCCCCCCTCTGCCCCCACCCACTCCGCCCTGCCACGCCCACTCCGCCCTGCCACGCCCACTATTTGACCCCGCCTCTGTCCCCACCCACTCCGCACTGTCACGCCCACTATCTG